CCTAATCGTGGCTCGGTTCTCGGTTTGCATGTTCAGCGTGCATATTGGCCAGGACTTTACAGCAAGGATACAGTAGTAGTAGTAGTAGTTGTAACGAAAAAACAACGTCGACTGCCAGTTGTCAACGCATATCCATTTTGGGCTACAGAACTATCCCCCAACCCCCCTTTGGGGGTTCTTCTCCAACTCCTCTTTTGTTTGCCTCAGCCAAATAGCAACAAACGAAGCCTGTTAAGTGTCCCCTCGTTTTGGGTTTTCCAAAGTACAACCCCTCGCTCCTCATTCTTTCTTTTCGTTGTTTTTCCAATTTTTCCCTTCTATATCCTCTGGCATACACAAATTTTCAACATTTTCGCTAATATTTCCGCTGCCGTTCATTTTAATGTGAGCCATTTGTTTGTTTTGCTGGTGTGTCGGAAAGTTGCCTCTATGCGGGTCAGTTGGTTTCCTGTCCACTGTGGGTTATTATGGGTGGTGGTGCTGCACTGTGGCACTGTGGCTTGTTCGAGCGGTGTTGGTCTTGACTGGCTGCCACCATCACCCCTTTATGTTGCGGCGCTTATCGGCAGTTTGCGGTTTTGTTTTTTGTTGATTTAGTGGGGCAGCCTGTTGAACTTTTCGCTTCACTGCGGCGACACTAGACAGGACACACCCAATGCCCACAGGGGCAGTACCGCGTACCCAACAGCCTAAACCACTCCACGATAACCCCATTTAATTTTAATGGTTATATTTTGATAGTTTTCAGAAAAGGCAAATGATATAATTTTAAGGAGAAGTTCAAGGGAATGTTTTTCTTTTATTAAGGGAAATTTAACTATCAAGTTTATGTTTACCTTAAATATTTTTTTAAAATATATTATTGTTATTTTATTTACTATTTTTCCCTAATCTTTGCTCTTGGAAAAACATTTTTAATGTAATATTACAGCTTTTATGTGGCGGCATCTATACAAAGTTATGAGAAAGCTCTTTGTGTTGGCGTCATCTATGTTTCAGTTATGTGAAGTAGATGGCGCTTCACTAGCAAGGTTACCAATAGTGTCGGAAAATATTTTTGAAATATTTAACCATACATATTTGTATAAATTTTATTATTTTTATTTTATTATTTTTTATTTTAAATTTTTTTTTTTTAATTATTTGGTGTTTTTAGAAAAGTATACTAATATCGCCTATAAGTTCTGAAGATCACCTTTGTTCTGATGACTTTCTGATCCCCGTTTAATCTAAAAAAAAGATAAATAGGTTAAAGTATTACATCATAAAAAGTAATATTTTTTATTTCATCGTTTAAAAACAAGATCCTAGATGCCTAGATAAAATCTTTAAAACAATATCATTTATTTTCAATTTTCAATTTAAAATCTCGAATTAAAACAATTATCATTTATGAAAAGACAATTTTTCAATCTAATGATAGCAATCAATAGATGGAACCCTGTGATGCAATAAGGAAACCTCGACCGGATTTTCCGGAGCCTAGACGCCTCTTTGTACCTTTCCAACGGGCAAGTGAATTTTTTGATATATCGCCAGATGAAAAACTGGAAAGCTGGCCAGATGAACGGAAACGAAATTGATTGGCACATGTGGTGTGCGGCGGAGTTTTTAGTTTTGAGCACCGCCAACGCCACCAGAAAGTTGTGCAATTATGCAATCAACGTTGGCCAGTCGTTTGCATGTCCCAGTCAATTGGCGAGCGTGACTGCAGCTGACCGAGTGAATTAAATCAGCTACTGGCACTCGCCATCTCCGTTGATCCAGATAGTTAGCAGCTAATCCGGCAAAATATTCGCAATCAACTAGAGGTTTTGGCTGGAAGAGATCAGACCTCTATATGGGGATTACTAGAAAATATTTCAAGGCCTAAAAATATTCTCTATCAAAGATCTTAGAGAGAGGAATTTATGTTTACTTAATTTAAGTTTAAGCTCTTCCGTTTCCCATTATATTTTACAAACTATACTTATCTGAAAACATAGTTTTCCTGTTTTTCATAAGATATATCAGATTATTTCAGATAGGGGTTTATATCTCTATCTCTCTCTTATAAAACAAAAATCTTCTTAGCCATAATTATATAATTCACATTAAGTATACGCATTTGTCTGACATACTTTTCCTAACACTCAAATTTTATTGGTAACTAGAGATGATGAAATGCTATCCACACCGCTCTTATGTTTACTTTTTCCCCCAAATGCTGGGTCAGTGAACTCAAAGTGAACCAGTTTGATTGCCTGCATTTCCGCAAAGTGGTTTCTGTCCAAGTGACCCAAGGCGCCAGTGCGTCTCATTATGCGATCATTGAATCGATATGCCTATCAAATTGATAGGCAATCGAATGTATTATGTATGCAAATGACACATCGAAGCGCCGGCGATGGCAATGGGCCATAATAAAGACATAATTCATGCAGTTACATTGTTATGGTCAGGCATTGCATGAAAGGTTCGTGCCTTAAGTCTTTTGTTTTGCCACGAAATGGTGTCAGCCTATTGCAGTTTGACCTTCAGTGGAAAGGGCTGCATTAAGTTTGAAATTAATTTCTAAGGATTACAAATTAACTGACCACGTATGGTGCGGAAACTGCAAGCAAGTGGGAAATCGTTTTCAATTGTGGCACCCAAAACTGGCGTTGCAAATCTGCCATATATGGTCAGAAACAAGAGCGACATCTCGACTCTTGGCAATGTGCACGCATTTTGTCAAAGCAGTTCGTCCAGCTTCCTTGGCGGCATTTGCTTATTTTTCGGTTGACAAGCAGGAAGCTGAACTCAATCGGAAGTAAGGGGAGCAATAATAAAAAAAAAGGTGTCAGTTCAATGGCATGTGTGTGTGTCCGATCAAGTCTGATTGTGTCTGCAGACAAGTGACAGTGTGGGCGGCAGCCACGCCTTACTCCGGCCTCCTTGGGGCCTGACAAAGTTATGTGGCCACCCCACACACCCACTCCCATTTCCCAAAAGCAGGCTGACAATCTGCAATCGCTTTGGCAATCGTTTTGGCAATTCAAATCAGCCAACGCAGCGCCGCCAGAGGTAGGAAATGCATGCCAAATGTTGCTCTAATTTTAATGCCGGAACCGATCGCAAATGGGAGAGCACGGAGGGAAATATTTATTTTGTATTGAATGGTTTATCTTATATATTTATATTTAAAATTATGATTTTGTATCTGATTTACATTAATGAAACTTAAATAATCCATTTATCTGAAAGCTAAAAATGAGTCAATAAATAAAAATGGGAAATCTTTGTTATAAGTAGGTTTTTTAGGCATATTATACGAGTATTACAATTTGTTAGTGTTCATTTTCTTAACTTTAAGTAATAAATTTGAAGTATTTTTTAACAGACTTTTTTTTCTTTCAGTGCACTGCAAGGAACAACAACAACATACCCTTATAGCTGCGCATATATTGACCGATTACCGCCGTCGATAAGATGAATAATCATGAAAGGCATAAATAAATAAATAAAACTCCACATCATGCTGTTAGCCAAACGGAGCGGGGGAAAGTAAAAGTGGTTCAACAGCGTCTCTGTATTTTGTAGTCTGTAGTTTGCAGTTTGTATTTTCGAGTGTGGAGTGGCGGAGTGGAGGAGGACCTGGTCTAAGCCGAACGCATGGCCATGGGCAAGTTGTTACGCATTTCAGTCCAGTTTTGCTGCTGCACTTCCTGAAAGGGGACACACAGGCGCCGGCGACGACGGCGGCGTCCACTCTATGGGTATCTCAAATTGATGAATATTAATATGATTTCATTTTGGCTGCCTTGGTGTGTGAATCATGTTTGGCACTTCCTTGTACAGAGGGTGGAACTAACTGTCATTGCTGGCAAAATGATGGCCAAAGCTATTAAGGGAGAAAGGTGGCGGTGCTACAGTGAAAGTCCTGACAAGTAGTTAGTTCTCTAAGATACAACCATAAATATACTTAAACCGTAAATATATATCATGATATTTATAGAGCCATAGAGAGAGAGTTATGCAACTGATTACTTCCCACTAAGTGAAACGGAACCAGACCAGGTACATGCACGCACCTGGAACTCCATAAGCTGGCCAACAGGTGAGCTATCCGGCGATGTTCATTCATTCGAAATTAAATCAACATGCAATTAACTGGCTTTTTGGCCAAATGAATCGAACCATTTAAAGAGCGCTATTCCGCATGTCTTACTATTGCGGATCCCATTTTGAAAATGTGGCAGGAAATGAAACGGAAAAATGGAAAAATGTTGGCTTATTGTCTTCCAAACTATTGCCACATTTGCCTGGCTTGCACATGCAAAAATGCAATAGTTTTATGGGGATCTAAACCATAGACACGTCCACGAGCATTGCCCTTAACCGAGTTAATGCCGCGATGGACAATAAATTACATTAAAAACCATCTAATTAATGCGACACCATTGGGAATATCAAAATTTTTTAAACGTGACGACCTTCGTTTTCTGGACGATTGAACAATAAGAATTCCCAAAAAAAAATAATCACAAAAAAACCGAAGACAAACGCAATAGGCTTGGACTTAATTTTTTTCTTGTTTTGTTGATTTCCCAGTGCGTGCTATTAATTTGCATTGCTTAAATGTAGTCGTTGATTTTGAACTTTTTTTCTTTCCTTCCATTATTGAGATTTATAACATTTATGGCCATAAGCTTTTCGGGCCGATTACAACATTTGGAGCAGACTGCAGACCAAGTCACGTCTCCAAAACTGGCCAAAAAAGAGTGGGTTGTATGGTTAAAGAGAGGCCTTTACATAGAGAGCCAAAGAGCAAAGCCGGCTTAAAGCTTTGCGAGCAAAAGCTTGGTCATTGTTTACACACGAAACCGTTATCAAAAATTCAAGGTCTATCTGGATTTTAACTCTCATTTTCACTAGAGACAGAAAAAGAGAGTGGAAGTGGAAGAGTTGGAGAAGTAAGACTCTCACTAACCGGAGGTTGCACCTGCGTGGTGTGTATTTAACCGTAGGTGCACGATCTTCAGACCGACAGTCGATTCCACGAAAGTGGCCAAAGTGGTGGTAACAGCCCATCCCAAAGTGGCTTTAAGTGATATAAATATATATTTCGAAGATACCGCCAAATATTGGATATACAGATAGTGCCCTAACTTAACCCTTTTGCTAGCTGTAATCGGGAGCCATGAGGATCCAGCGGCATTTTGTGGTAATTACCAAGAAAAACTAAGAAAAACTTTTGAAAAAAAAACTGTGAAAAAGTGTCGCAAAATGGAAATTAACATGAAATTGGGGTTGCGGGTGCTGACTGCAGAAGTGGAACTAATGGTGTACTTAGCCAAAAGTTGGCAATTATTTTATTTGCATTTGCATAGGTGGCAAAGTTGGTGTGGCAAATAAAATTAAGGGATATACGCTACAGTGAATTTTTCTAAGAAAATTGCAAAGCCTTGCGCGGCAAGGTGATGTGCAATTTTGTTAATTTTATTTCAATTTGTTACTTAATCATTGATCATGAAGTATTTTTTGCAATGTTAGAGGGGGGTTTAAAAAAATGAATTTTCTTACATAAGTTTTAGATATATATTTTTAATTATTTTTTAAACGAATTTACTGCTGCCAAAAAATTGATATAAGATAAGAAATAGAATCCAAAAAAGATATAAGCTTACTAATTTTTCTTTTTTATAATTTAAAATGTCATTAATAAATGATTAGTATCACTAACTTAAAAAGCTAAAACCAATGAGGGAAAAACACATTCCCTTAAGTTTGTTTTTATGTGAGATAATTTGGGGTTGCTATCTTCAGCTGTTTTCTCTAAATGTTTTCTGTGCTATCATGATTTCTGTTTAGTTTTTTCCTATTTCTTTTAGACAAACATATTTCAAACATATTTTGTTTAGAAAATTTAAAACCAAGCCAGATAAACACTTTCTTCCTGTCGGTCTGCGTTTGTCCACAACTCGATCCATGCATTTTTCATTAGCCTTTCAGAGGCACACGACTGACAGCCAGACCGACGATTCCCTTCCGACTTGCGCCGCATTGTCAACAATTAAAATCGCGATCGTTTCATTAGCGACCAGGGGATCCATATATCCATGGGGTGCAGTTCGGAGTGGCAAACTCTTTTCCCTCACGACCGATGATCCAACTGCAGGCGAAACCAGTCGCGGCGCAGCTTTCACTGCCCACCGAAAAAGCGAGGAAGCTGACACGATCGATCTGCTACAATTAGCACTATCCGATGAGATAATTTTTGCTGGCGTTAATTTCCATTTCATAATCAGGGTGCCCGATGGTCTCTGCTCGTTGACATTTATGCGCAAATTGATTGGGATTAGCTAGTGGTGGATAGTCTTTTGAAATTGTACCCACAAATTGGGCTAATTTTGCGAAATCACAAAGGCGTTCCTCTGACCTTGTTGGATTCTCCAAATGCAGAGATGCCTTGCGTCATTTATCAAACAATTCCATATTTATCTTAAAGATACAAGACAAAAATAAAATCCCATTTACATAATAAAACAAATTGACCAAATAAAGAGAGGCCAGACCCAAAAAGTCTTCGGCCTGACATTATTTGTCATCAACTAGCTTTTTTGACCCAGGTCAGGGCATTGTATGAAATTATAAACATTTCAGGGATTATGCAACATTTCTCTGTGTCGATCTACCTCCCGCCCAAAAAAAAAAAAAAAAACAATGCCAGACTATGACCCACTTAAAACTTGTTTTCAGTCACTCACCTTTCTTTCCTCGGAGAATATGGAATTAATTAACATGATCGTTGCGAATTCAATTTGTACAAGCTTTCTTCATGCCCGGAGTTTGTTGTCTCAGTCTTTTGATTTGTATCTATCAGATGTTTGGTATGTTAACTATAGCTAATTTTCTGTTTCTTTCAGTTGGGCCTGCTCGGTGTGCTCTGCTTGGCCATCGGAGGCAGTCAATCCAAGGCTGTGGTGGATCAACAACCTGCCGCTTCCCAGGTGGACAGCAAAAGCGTAGCCCAGCAGCGAATCGATTTGGGTTTGGGTCTGGGCGATGCCCTCATCCATGATCATCATCACGAGCACATTGTCGAACATCATGAACATCATCATGAACACCATGACCCTGGGTACTGGAAGAAGAAGGTTACCTGGAAGGAGGGATGGAAGAAGATCTGGAATCCTGCTAAGAAACAAATATGGAATCCTTCGTGGAAGAAGGTAAGTTAGCTATTAAATGAGAAATCAATCTAAGACTAATCTAATATAAAACAAAATTAGAATATCATGAAAACCTTTCCTTAATTTTTCTCAGATCTGGAAGCCCCATTGGGTTAAAGTACCTGGCTGGAAGGAGATTCAAGTTCCCGCCTGGAAACAAATTTGGGTAGGTTTTCTAGCTGCCAGTTAAAGAAAGTGTTTTGAAAAGTTGAATTTGAAATATTATAGGTTCCTCACTGGAAAGAGATCTTAGTGCCTGCATGGAAGGACATTCAAGTTCCCGATTACAAGCAGATTTGGACACCAGAATTAGTCAAGGTATAGAAGAAGTTACCAACATTTAGTAGGATTTATTTAAGAACCACTTTGCCATTTTAGGTTGGCATTCCCGGCGAGAAATATCTGGGCAAGGATCACGAAGGATGGGAGTATACTAGCCATGATTTGTGGAAGAAGGTTGGTTCTATAATCTTATTTCTATAGGTAGATGACTTCTAAACACTTTTAACTCAATATTTATAGAAAGTGGTCTGGAAGTCGCACTGGAAGAAGATCTGGAAGCCAGCCAAGAAGCAAATCTGGGTGCCAGAGAAGAAACTGGAATGGAAGGAGGGATGGAAGCAGTACTGGAAGCCAGCTAAGAAGGAAATCTGGACCGATAAATTGGTAAGTTAAATCTGTCAACTAAAAAGAGGATTTCAAGTTCATTTTCCCAACTTTTCCCCAGGAATGGAAGGAAGCATGGAAGCAGATTTGGGTGCCTGGCTGGAAGGAGATCTGGGTTCCCGGATGGAAAAAGATCTGGAAGCCAGTGGTTATTTCCGAGTGGTTCCCCTCACCCGATCACCACGATCATCACCATCATGAGCACAGCTTTGATTGGGATCGCAAGGACACCGGTGTCACGGCCTCCAAGACGGCCGATGGCAAAGATAAAGTAGTTTGGAAACGAGATGACACCAATGCCGCCGGCAAGCCAACGTTGCTGCAGCCAGTGGCCAGTGCTGATTTTCAGGCCAAGTCCCTGGAGGCAGCCAAATCACCCGTAGCTGCACCCGCTGCCGCGGTGGCAGCCACCTCGCAGTCATTCAAGTTTCCCGGCGCGTAGGAGGCCATTGCATCACCGTACAAATAAACGGTTGCATCACAAAAACGCCCGGTTCCAAGCTCCTTGTAAATAGTCGTAAACCAGTCGCTAGCTCATAAGGCCATCCATCAACTTCCATTTGCCTTGGCGCCACTTTAAATTATCTCTAGACTTTAATTACCACTGAATACAAAATAATAAAATAAATAACTAAAATATAAATCCACTTAGCCTAATCATCAGTCTTTGTGTCATTTATACGAATGACCCTTTTCCGCCTCCCATTCATTGGGGGCATTGGGCAGTGGCACCCACTCATTGTGTATAGTGGGTGTCCAGACCTTTTTCCATACCGGCTCATAGATTTTCTTGGCCCGCCAGTACTTAACCCATCGAGCATTCCAAGTCGTCTTGTTGGCCCAGAAGCCATCCGCCTGGGGATCCAGAGTATCTGTGTGACTAACACTATGTTTTTTTTTTTTTTGAAAGGGAGAAAGGAGGATGGATTAGTGAAAGTGGTCTAGTGGCTAGGATGGTTGCGTAATCCTCTCACATGGTGGTCGTCTTGCCGCCCAGACAGCAGCTGAAGAAAATGAACATTAATACCGCTAGCATCAAGAGGGATTTCATTTTAATCCATGGATACGCCATCCTGTCACCACTTTTCGCCGCTTTCATGTTTCGCAATCGACTGGCGAGGCTATTAACCAATCTTCACGTTTTAAAGGCCTCCAGTTTTTATGGTAAGCTCCGAGCTCCCTAATTGGGATTCAGTGCGTCTGGGCAAATGAATTGCAAATTCGCGCACTTTGCACGATCTGATTTGTTTGTAAATAACCCTTAGATGCCTTATATAACTAACAACACACATTTCTTTCTTTCGTTTTTGTGGTTTATTTTGTTTTTGTTGCATTTCTTTCTTTCTTTCACTTAAACTAATGTAAAAACTCTGCAAATGATAATCTGTATGTGTGACAAAGCTTAGGAGTTACAATTCACGAGGCCGTCTCAACAGAAGAAGAAAAAACAGAAACACTAACATTACTTTCGTTTCCTACAATTCACGCATACAATTTATCGGATAACGTATGTATTTTATAGCTCTATATTTATATCTAAGTGCATCAACTTAAGGCAGATATACAGATTAACTGATGTTGATCATGATCATGAATAGTAGTGATAGCGATACAGTATTAAAGCCCTTAGTTACGCGTAGAAAGTTCATTTTGTTTTGTTTTTTTTTTTTGATTCTTTGTTACAAAGTTATAGGAGTTTTTTTTAGCAAATTGAATTCAAATTCGTTTGCCCTGACCAACAATCGTTGTGTGAACACAAATTTAGAACTAATATGGCACAAAATAGCGCAAAATAAAGTTGAGTAAACGTCAAAGTAATTTACTTAATATTACATTTTACATATACAAAACATATAGCAAAGACAGCACATTAACATTTAGACAGCCCTGTTGCCAAATTTACTGAATTCGGAATTTAGGTTTCTAACCTAACCCCATTTAAAAGACATGTTTATTCTATGACGTTCCCATTTTGATCAATTCCTTTTCAGACAAATTGGACTTTGAGAACAGGGCCGTTACATATTTGGGATTCTAATTCCCATGCGTTGTCGCGGTTTAGTCTGTTCTGTTGTTGTGATTGTGTGTGGCTACTTTCCTGGTACTGCTTCTCCTCTACTTCAACTTCGTGTTCTCTTTTCGGTGTCAGTCTTTTGAAATACCATTTTGAAATCGATTCATCTAGATGCAGGCTGCAATTTGTTCGTTCGTTGTGGTTGTATTGGGAATGTTCTGTGGTTGCCTCGTTTCAGGGAGTGAGTGAGTTGGGTTTTTTGGTGGGTGGGTGTTTTTCTTTCTTTCTTTTTTTGGCTGTGCACGTTCCATGGGATAAAGCTAAACTAACTAAGGTGTACTAGGCTACGATGAGTACAATATATTCGAGTTCCTGTGTGTGTATCTTAGGGAGGGGCCCAGCTCATTCGAAGGACATCAGATTGGTGGGCAGAGGTTTGGGCACTCGCATGGTAGCCAGTTTACAAATGGCATTCGACCAGAGGTGCGTCATCTGTGGACTGTCCGTCCGGAAGCGATAGACAGTGCCCAAGGTTCGGTGGCACAGCTCAAAGGTGTTCTTGTGCTTGGTATTATCGCTGACATGAGCATACCATCCGTCCAAGGGACACACTTTGCACGGTTCCCTTTTGAAGTCATTCCGTTCGCTGCCCTTAAACGACTTTGGTGGGAAATAAACCAACGAGTTGGCCCAAATCTGCAGCCAGTATCGCTGCCAAGAGGCCACCGCTGGCTTTCTGCCCTCCTTCTGAACTGTTTTTCGCCGGACACATCCCTGCATGGCGGCAGCTGCCTCTGGAGACATCAAATCGCAATCGCTTCCGCTGAAATCACACATAATTCCATCGGCACTCTCAAGGGATGTCAGATCCGCTTGGGATAAGGCGTCACTGTGCTCCAGAACCGAATCGTCCAGCAGATGATGACGAGGTTGCACTTGATTGGGATCCAGTTCCAAGTGCAGGTGGTGAGGATGTCCATCGCCGTGGTTATGCGGCGCAATCTTGCCAAAAATGCTGTAAAGGATTAAGGAATTTAGTCAACTTCATATTTTTTGGGGGGGAAAGCATCAATCCATTCATGCTGATCAAAAAAATGAGGAGAAGAAATGAAACTGCTAGAGGGCAAACAAGGATGAACTGCGTTTTGTGTACTCGGGAAGGATGTGTGCTTTAAGTAAAAATGTAGAAGTGGGATTTCCCAAAATCAAAACCAAATGAAGTGAGAAAAGTGGAGGAGACATGTCTTTTGTGTATTTCATACGAAGCAATTCCAACTCGGGTCCGTGCAAAACAAACAAATGAGGAGACACTTAAAACTGAAAACACTTTGAGTGATAAAATGAGGATAACGCATTGGTAGTAGGATTTAGTATCGTTTACAGGCTGGCATTACACACATATCCTAGCTACAGGAGGACTCTGTTCTGGACTCACCGACGGCATCTGCAACGCTTGTTGGAGATGGTGCCAATGCCCGGAGCAATCATCACGATGCAACACTGGCACTTCTGGGCAAAGTTTCGCGGCAGGCTGCTGCTGCGAAATCTTCATACATTTTTGGTTTTTGGCATTTTGGCGGATGTTTGACAATTTAACGAACGAACGAACGAACGAACACACACAAAACGAAAGCATAAAGCCCAAAGCAAAACGTTTGAGGTGAAAGACAGAGATTTAATAACGATTAATAAGGACCCGGTGTACATATGTCCAATTATTGCGCAGTGATTCGAGGTGGTGGATTATAAACAGGTGGTTAACCAAAGGAAGCTTTTGAGGGCTCTCTCTGTGTTGGGGGATTCCTTTACTTACTTGGTGCCCAGACTGCGACACTTGCGATGACCCGGCACGAACTTGGTGCCGCTGGCCATTCGCATAGAACCAATAGTTTTGGCGGGCGAAAGATTCAGGCAACCCAGGGCCGGAGTTACAGCTTCCACATTGAATGATTCCTTCGAACTGCAGGATGAAGAACTGGGGCCAGAAGGAGACGCAGGTTCCAGGTTTAAAGAGCGCCTGAAAGGTGTTTCGAAAGATTTTAGTATAATAGTCGAATATAAATTTAGATATGAAAATCATAACAAATATAAATTATAAGCTTAGTAGTGATTTATGGGTAACTTTTATGAGTCATTGAAAGACAGTTAGTGTTTTTGTGTGGCGAAAAAATATAGTTTATACTAAATGAAATGAATATGGGACTTTAATGATAAGCTTTTAATTTCATCAATGAATGAATGTTAATATCAAGAATAAAATTGTTCTAATAAACTATAGTCATACTAGCTTAAGAATGATTTCAGAAAACGATATTCAAATTTTTTAAACTGTTTTGATTTTCAAATCCCAAAAAGGTAATTCAAGCTTTTCCTTACTTATATTGATCCTCCTCAAAAATATTCTGCAACTCCTCTATGTATCTTATCGACGTCAGATACTTTTGTGTTGCCTCATGCTTCTGCAAATGCTTATAGTCCGATTGCTGATAGTTTGAAATAACACGGAGTATGTTGTTCATTTTGTTCCTACGCTGCTCCGGCTCCAATCCACCTTTGTGCGGATGCGCCAAGTCGATGTAGATCAGATCGGTGAGAAAGAGACCCAAATAAGGAATGCAGGGCAGGCGGAGGCTTTCGAGATAGGATCGCAGATTCGCCCAGTTATCCTGATCGCTGAATATATCGCTGAGTCGCTCAAAGGAGTGACGATCCTTTTTCGATAGGCAAGCCCAGGTCTTTGACAGCCGATAAATGCTGGCGCTTTGCATGGCCGAAATGATGGCAAACAGCGAGTGCAGATTGTTGAGCTCATGGAGTTTTTTCGCCACCTAATAATAAAAAGTGAAAGAATTAATCACTATATTTAACCAATTAATTAATCAACTTGGGCTAATTTTCTCACCTTTATAAAGTGAGTCATAATCTCAGCTCTCTGCTTTGGCTGCTCGGCATTCAGTATCTCCTGCACTGTCCAAAAGCTCGTGTGGTTAAATCGTTTCGTAAATGCCACAATATTCGGAGTGTTGACATGCTTATCCTTTTTCGTCCAGGCACAGCTGCTCAGCTCATCCGGCTGTATTTGGGCAAAGACTGGAAAGTCCAGTAGTGTTATCTGATTGGCCAACACATCGGCGGGTACACGTAAAGCGCTCAATATAACCGCATCCAACTGCTTGATGGAGGCGTGGGCCGGTAGACTTTGCGACTTGGACGGCGGTGCTGCCGAAGCTCTAAATAATCAAATCATTAAAATATAATTAAAGCTATACTAATGTTTAAAATTAATAACTTACGCTATAGTGTAGTAGCAACCAGGCGAATCTGGCGAGGAGGAGAAACTGTTTAAACAACCAATGGAGTTCTTGCGCCGCGTACTCTTGATATTCAGGGTTTTGCTGGCCTGCGGTTGCATATTGGGCGGTTCCATTTGGTGCTCTTTTTGAGTCTTCTCTTGGCGCAAACATGCCATGGTATGGGCATTACCATTGGTATTCGGACTTCGTTGTTTGGCCAGGCGAGTGGGCTGCTGTTGCTGCTGCTGCGGAGGAGGCGGCGGTGAACTCTGCTTGAATTGAGTCGTGGCATAGGCCTGACCCGTATATCCATTATAGTCCGTTGTGGGTTTTCTGCTTAACTGAAAGATCAAGAGACCGTAGGTTAATCTCCAAATGCACTTGAGTAAGGAGAGTATAGAATAAAGTTACCTCTGAGTAGCGCAGATTATCCGTGGACAGGTCACGTGAGATTTCCGAGTATCGCATCATGGCAGCCAACTCCGGCTGTCTATGGACTTCGACCAGCTCTTCAAAACTGCAATGAACGACAGACTCGAGTTAGCTTCGTGATAAAGTTTTTGGCTTTCGGTGTTCCGCGCACTGGGCAGACTCTTTTTGTTGACTGAAACCGAGTTTGTTTTCCTCAGTTCTGCATTGTGGCTTTTGTGTTGCACGAACGGTAGTAAAAAAAAACACAAAAACACAAAAAAAAAGTTAAAAAACTGAGGGAAGAAAAAAACTGGTGGCAAGCCGGAGCGGAGCTTCTGGCACGCTTCGCTGCTCGATTTCCAATGGAGCGGGCCATGTGAGTCACGAGCGGTGCGAGGAAACCATTCCCTGCTCTTTTATGGTAGCTCTCGGAGTGGTCAAATGACTTTTCGGGGGTGCAAGCCAATGCTGATAAAAATGTATCAGGCTGCAGCGGTCAGCGGAAAGTTTTTGTTTGGAAAAACAAGTCACCCGGTCAGAAAGCAAATTGGTTTTCAACCCAGCAGTCAATGAACCCGTCAACTAAGGCTTAGAAATGGAAATGAAAATAACCCATTAATTTCTAACAATTTCCCTCTTTTAACATACATAACATACTGCAGCTGGTGATGATATAAGGTCATGGTGATGATCAAAATGGTACCCACAATGTAAGGCCTAACTCTGTCTCTGTAAGGGAGAGACTTATGATGAAATTATTTTAAAAGTTTCAGATAATTAAACATTTTATTTTCATCATATAATGAAACCTTTTATCTGAATAAAAGGAAATGGAAGCATTTACTGAACTCAAGTTTATCAAAAAACAACAATTAACCAGAATCCAGTATCTTCCCAGTATATCCAGTAACTTCCCGTCATTGCATATATCTATGTATATAACCCTACCCTTATATGCAGTCTCTCATATATATACATCAAATTCCTCTAAGACTGACTGCGCTGACCCCGTCTAATTAATTTCAATTAAGTTATAATCATTTAAAAGCAAAAGCTGATCAAACTCAATGACGTCCACACATTGTCATTGGTATATGGTTGGGTTCTGCTGTCTGTGGTTTCCTTCGATTATTTTGCGCTTTTCCATTGGAGAAAAATTGAATTATCCGAGAGCAGCGCAAATATCTCGAGAGCAGTGTGGGCGAAGTCCAGAAGATACAATCCCAAGACGGAAACGGTTTTGGGAACGATATCTATTGTTTCAATTTTGGTTTTCAAACCAAATAAATTCCATTCTAATCGTGCGAAATTCATATCGTTCAGTTGGGCTTTTCATTTAGTCTTTAGACAAATTCAATTGCAGCAGCGTATTCACAAAAAAATATACAGTCAGATATATGTGAGATATATAGATGAAAAGAAAACAAATTGGGCGGAAAAAAAAGAACAAGATGTAGACAAGACAAAAGGCGAACTCAAATTATATTCCAAAATGCCAGACGACTGCCTCAAGATTTTGAGCAAATGGACTTTATTGACTATTTGAACTATTCCATATACACATCATTCCTCCTCTCCATTGAATATTTATATATATGTATATATATAGATCTATATATCTGCGCCAATCTGTGCCATTTTTCTTGTGGATTTCCTTTCGTTGGGTCGGCGTTTTTATGGAGATATCAAATGCAATTAAAGCCAAACAATTAACTTGCCTCATGTGAGGGCACATAAAGTTCTGCCCACTGGGGTACAATTTAAGCCATGGCATATGTAAATATTTCATGCCAGACAGCGCGCTCCTTAAATGCGATTTTGTAAACTTTTTTTTTTTTTTTTTGATGGTCGAGAATGAATACTTGTTGTTTTCGTGGTCAGGGATATGGCGAAATATCTGTTTGTGTGGGGGCGAATCAAGCGATCGCCCACTAAAGCTACTACCCTCCAGAAAATATCCAGTGTGTGTTTATTGTTTTTACATAAATTTCATGAAAGAAAACAAACAACACACAGCTGTATAGATTTCGAGGAAATCACATTTGCCTTCGCCATACAGTTTTCTTTTTGTTTTGTTTATCTGGCGGGGTTGCAATTGTATTTAAATAAAATACAATACATACTCGCAGATTTCTACATAATCTCGAGGAAACTGGTCGCTATTTTCTTATTTTGCTTTGTCTGTGTTGGCGTTTTCCATTGATAAATTCTTTTTCTTGTGGGTTGCTCTGGAATTCACAAGTGATGACAAGTGACGACTGGCCATCAAGAGAATTTGCCGTTCAACCTTTTCGCTGACTCGCTGCTGACCCTCAGCTCTAGAAAAAGATTGCGCGGGGGGGTTAAAGATCTCTGGAGCAGCTTTCTTTGCCATTTTCAGAGTATAGTGGCGAATTGCATATTTACAAAAAGTAGAAACGTATATATCATTACACAAGGTCAGCGGCGAGTGGCTGTCGCCAGTGATCATCGTATTTAAAATTCTGGGTTGTCAGGTTCAATAACCGCTTTGAAAAGATTGCGATTAAGAAATAAATATTTAGCATTTAATGGGATCAACCTTCCACTTGAGGTTCTATATACATATGAGTGGGAAAACATTTAGCTAATCTCCCATTGAAAATCCGAGGGGCGTTATCAGGCAGTCGTCGTCTAACTATTTGCTTACACATGCATGCCAGAATAAATACATGTAATTACGCTGGTTAAGACCAAGAGAGAAACTACAAATGGAAAAGTGCAAAAGCAGTAACAAAGCAAGAAAAACTAGCTGTGAAGATCGAAGATGGCAGTACCCTAATCTAAGATACATTACATTAGATAAAACTTTTATTCCTGTTTAAAGATAAATTTCCAATCCTTATACTGACTTGTTATCTATCTTTTAGGTAGGCCCCGTCATTAAATCTGTATATTCTACCAACATTTCCCTTTAATTATCCTTAAATACAACAAACGACCTACCATAAAATCAAGCTGTACATTTATAGCAGGGAAATGATATAGACCTCCGTTTCCGGCTGTTCCAAATTTGTATACATACATACATATATATACAACGCAGAACGGAATAAAGGTTCTCTGTGCATAATTTCAAACAGATGGCATTTGGATTTTGAGATTTGTTTTCGAGAGAAAAACAGGTAGATAAATAAGCAGATGGAAAGATTGTTGCTATCTGTAAGTATCTTCAATGTAATATGGTCAAATGTGCAGATAGATAAGATGGTTTAGATATACATTACAGTGTCAAAGATTTATTTCTCTTACAACCTAGAAAACTTTAAGTCGCAATTATAATACCCACTTGTAGGGTATTTGAAAAACAAAAACAATACGAGGGAAGGCCAAGCAATTGAGCTGGGGGTTTCTTCTTTCATCTCCTATTCTCATGTTTTGTATTTGTTCCATGAGGTGCTTATATGTACATGCGATCCACAGAACCACATGTAAGCCACCAAAGTGGGTCACTTGGTGAGCATCCATCCATCGAGCCTAGAACTGAGCCACTTACCCAATTTCTGGTTCGAGTGGCTGTACTTAAGACCAAGGAATATATATTTCTCCGAACAAAAGGCAATTGGAAACGGGGGAGAAACCTTGAAATTCAGCATCTCTGTAACTCAGGCGAAAACATCTGTCGCACATATCCTGTTGGACGAGTCCAGGAAAAGTAATTGCACAGAAAAAAAAAATAATAAAAAATACCTGTACCATATTTAGATTGTATTAATTTTGATATGTATATCTTATATTCGGGTAATGTTTAAAGATACCTCCTAAATAAAGGTAAACAAACCTGTCAAACAGATATACAAAACAAACATAAACAATATTTTATAATTTTAACCCGAAAATGGTGATAATTTCATGATCAAAGTATAAATCTAAGGAGTAGACCTATTTTATCTCTCCTTTTGATTTCCAAAACTAAAGTATTTTTTTCCGGTGTTCAACAGCAGCTGGTACTTGAGTTTCGAGAGGCGTTGTTACTGAGTCTCGGTGTGTATCTCCTTATCAAATCGCTTATCACCTGATCTAATGCCGAAAGGAAGTGCTAAGTGAGTTTTATTGACCGCCCCCTTGATGATTCACATTTCCAGACATATACTATATATAGATATATATATTTATTTGTTCCGCCGGCGGGGGGAAACAAATCGATAGCATTGAATACGAAAAGCGAAAAAAAATATGAAGGAAGCCGAACATAAACACAGATACAGAGAAAAACAAGCACTCACGCAATTTGCTTTCGTTGAGGTTCTAAGCTTATTGTATGCAAAGTGTACCGCCCACCGCCCATGGCCCACTCGCCGCCCACTTGCCACCCCACTTCTGGTGTAGTTTCGTAATCAGTCCGAAAAAAGAACACAAATTGCACTTGCCACTTGGATCATGGATTATTTTTGGGCGACAAAATGGACTAAGTTGAAGATAAAGATAGCGACGCCCAGCCGAAATGGCAATGCATATTGTTATTTATAGTTTTCCCCCACTTAACTCGCACTTTCAACTCACTTCGTTAGCCAATTGAAACATTTTAATTAAATTAATTGCTGTATAATGACAACTGTAATGTCGCGCTCTTTTAATTACTATCCACTACACTTATTGGATTCGATTATTTCACGAGTTTCGTTTGTTTATTCTTTCGATTGCAGCAAAAACTGAGTAACGAATAGCAAAAAAATGATCCGCGCGCGACACCGACGCCAAGGTACAGTGTGACCGGCTATCGGAAAGTTTAAATCCAATAACAAGATGTAATAAAATCAATAAAATACTAAAATATTTTACATTTTTTAAGTTTATATTCTATTTATTTATTTTCTATTTACTTTACTTTAGTACTTAAAATACGCTTACTCCCTTTCGAAACAATAGGTGTTTAAAATTTTAAACAAAACTGTTTACTAAAGAAAGAACATTTTTAAATAAATTTATAATTTTTTAAAATTTAACCACTGCTAGTTAAGAAACTTGGATAAAACATATCATTGACTCAAACCAAGCGGCAGATCTGTGGTGGAAACTGTATATGGTGGGTGAATATGAATTTTTGAATATTCAGAAACAGAAATAAAAACCAAATTTTTGTATAAAAATATATATTTTATTTATTTACTTACATCAGAAATAGCTTTATCATTTCATTCTTTTTTTGGGTTATTTTTCGCACATGCATTTACAACAAAAGGGGCTTATGACTACGAGGAATCGAGGAAGCATAATGGACGGAAGATAGTAAAAGAAAGAGAGAGAGATAAATGGGCACAAATAGATGTCGAAGGATGCTGGAAAAGTTAATGGAAATAGATCTAGGAAGACTTAAATCTAGATATTGCTATATGTTTCGAGGGTTCTAGCTAAATGTGTCAGGGAGTCGTTTCTAGTACCGATAACCGCTGCCATCGTTGTCGCCATTCTGACCACCGGGTCCGAATCCATTCCTGCCTCCCTGACCCGGCCTGCCGCTTGAGTATCCCTGGCCATCTTGGTTGTCCTGTCCGTTGCCACCGGGCCGACCACCTGGACGACCGCTCGAGTAGCCATCACGACCCAGATCTTGACCACCAGGACGTCCGCCGGAGTAACCCTGATCACCGCCATCCTGGCCGCCAATCACTCGACCACCGATAATCACACGACCGCCATCGGATCCACCATTTCCATTGCCACCATTGCCGCTTGGCCTGCCGTTGGAGTAGCCTCCTGCGCCTAGGTCCTGGCCACCGGGTCGTCCACCGGAGTAACCATCGCGTCCCAAGTCCTGACCGCCTGGGCGACCACCGGAGTATCCACTTGGACCCAAGTCCTGACCACCTGGGCGTCCACCGGAATAACCACCTGCACCCAAGTCCTGACCCCCTGGGCGACCACCAGAGTAACCATTTGGTCCCAGATCCTGACCACCAGGACGACCACCGGAGTAGCCACCTGGTCCCAAATCCTGTCCACCTGGACGTCCACCAGAGTAGCCATCGCGACCCAAGTCCTGGCCACCAGGACGACCTCCAGAGTAGCCGCCATTACCGTTGCCGTTGCCATTACCATTGCCAGGACGTCCATTGGAGTAGCCATCGGGACCCAGATTTTGACCGCCAGGACCGCTGGCACCGCTGCCATCGTTAGCATCTCCCTCGTAACGGATCTGTGGCCTGTAGCCTTGCTGATCGGCCTCGTACTCCACGATCTAAGGAAGACAGAGAGATATGTTTGTTAGCCGTGACAGGAGGAGGTGGAGCAGTGGGTGGGTCCACATCGACTCCTGTTGCCCGCCGCCGCCGCCGCTTACTTGCTTCCTTCCGTCGGGCAACAGGACATTGTACTGGCCGGTGGTGAAGTCACCGTCTCGCATCTCTGAATGCCCGAACGAGAGTCCGCTGGGCGCGTCCTCAACCTGGTAATTAAATTCGTACTTGGCGGGCTCCTAAACGCCGGATAACGGAGCATGGAGCATGGAGCATGGATCATGGACAGCGGATCATGGAGAATGGAGAGCGGATTGGGGCGTGTGGAGAAAGAGAGAAACACAGAGAGATAGAGTGGCTAGGATCAAGAATTCAGATTTCTGGGAGGGATGCAAGCTTTAAACGCCAATGGCGGTGCAGGTGAGCGAGTACGAGTCTACCAAAGATTTGCAAGGGCAAGTGTGCAGCGGTGTGGGCGGTGGAGCGGTGTTCCCTTATTGGCCTTATTCCACCTATGTGATCCCCGATAACAGATCCCATAATCCAGTTGCCAGAACCCATTTTTGGTCATAATAACCAGCTACTTACATCGTTTTCGTAATCAGATCCACCGGGTCCACTGCCTCCAGCACCACCTGGTCCAGATCCCGAGGCTGGGGGTCCGTATGAGTCGGAGGGTCGGCCACCAGGTCCTGATCCTGGAGCTCCATAGCTGCTCGAAGGACGACCGCCATTACCATTGCCATTACCGCTACCAGGGGCGCCATAAGAATCGGATGGCTTTTGGTTCTGACCAGGAGCACCATAGGAGTCCGAAGGGCGTCCACCAAATCCACCTTGACCCTGACCAGGAGCACCGTAGCTGCTTGAAGGACGACCGCCGTTGCCGTTTCCATTTCCGCCACCAGGAGCGCCATAGGTGTCCGATGGACGTCCACCATTTCCTCCGCCAGGAGCACCATAAGTGTCCGAAGGACGTCCACCGTTACCGCCACCAGGAGCACCATAGCTGCTCGAAGGACGACCGCCATTTCCGTTGCCTTGGCCAGGAGCACCATAGCTACTCGATGGTCGTCCTCCGTTGCCGTTGCCATTACCAGGAGCACCATAAGAATCCGAAGGTTTGCCGCCGAAGCCGCCTTGTCCTTGGCCCTGTCCTTGACCCAAGCCAGGAGCGCCGTAACTACTCGAAGGACGACCGCCATTGCCATTGCCGTTACCGCCACCAGGAGCACCATAGGAATCTGAGGGCTTGCCTCCAAATCCACCTTGTCCTTGTCCCTGACCCAAGCCTGGTGCTCCGTAGCTGTCCGATGGCCGTCCGCCATTACCATTGCCGTTTCCACCACCAGGAGCTCCATACGAGTCCGACGGCCTGCCGCCGGGACCACTCTGACCCGGTGCTCCATAGCTATCGGACGGAGGTAGATACGAGTTGACTGGTGGCTCCGGTCGCCCAAGGACCACCATCGCCATGAGCAGCGTCAAACCGAGTAACTTGAACATATTCCACTTGGATTTGGTCTACGGAGCTGCTGCTGTTGGTGCTGATCGGAATCTCTGGGATGAAGCTAGCGCTTGGAAGCAGCGCCGAATTCTGACTGATCTCTGGTTGCTGCCACATGGCGTATTTATATGTGGCAAACCGAAAAACTGAAAGTCTAGGATGCACACACACGAACCCGATTATGAGTTGGAGGTGGCTTTTGGAGCGTGTGGCAACCGGCACAACAGCTGCTGCGGCTGCTGCTGCTGCTGCCACATACGATCGTCTTCAGAGAAGCGGTGACTGATTCTATGCAGTCCAAAAGCAAAAATCTCAATCACTGAGCTTACTACTCCACTCGACTAACACACACCTCATCGCCCCGACAATCTTTGCTAGATTTTGCACGTGAAGGGTGACTCGCTTTTTGGTCTCGAGCTGATTTGCCTTCTTCTGGCGCACATCTTCTTGAGGCGCGGCGCGAGGCGGTGATTGTACTTGGGGTACCAAAAAAAAAAAAACCTTTTGGATCCGCTGTTGCGTTGGCCCAAAGTAGTCTACTCGGTCTACTCCACTGGGTGAATGTGTCGGCGGCGTCTGCCGCGGTTCACTCTCCCAAGCGAGTGGTTTGGTGGTTCAGTGGTTGCTGTGACAAGCGCCAAAGTTTGCATTTGTTTGCCTTGTCTTGTCAGACCGAAAAATATACAAAAAAAAAAAAACAATAAAAAGACCAGCGATATATTGAAGAAGATCGTGCCATCGGCGACCCCAATTGGGAGTAGGATCTGCAGATGCGTCTGATGGGTGTAGAAGGGTCGAGTCGATCCGATCGGAGATTGTGCCTATGGCAATGGAGATCAGAGTATCAATTGGTAAGTAAGGGTATGCAGATCCCATTAGTCTAATTGTATTGATTATGCTCAAAATGCAGATCACTAGATCAATGAAGTTGGTGGCCTACCAAGATTGACAGCTCAATCTGATTTTACATCTAGACGGAAAACATAAAAGAACTTTGTTACTCTACAATTTAGGTTTAATTTTGTTTGTTGATTGCTACGATGAAAAAGGAGAAGCTTTTGGATGGCTTGACAAAGAAGATTGCTTGAAAACATATCATAGAAAATATATATTAGATGTATCAGATATGGAAAGCACTCTAATTAGTCTAAAAATCTATAAGTCTGCATTGTACATCACCTTGACGTCTGAAACTTGGCCATTCCCTTTGTACATAGCTCAACCCATTCATTAATTCCGTTATTCAGTCAAGACAAATCGGAAAATGAGCCCACACAAAGGGATTCCCGAACTTATGGGAAATTAATTGCGCTGATTTTTCGCAGTCCGCCCACCTTGTTAAGTTGGTTAACTAACTAGCTAACTAAGTTGGCAGTAGCACCATTCGCGGATCACAGATCACAGCCTTCGTTGGCAAATGGGAACGTGCAGAATTAATTGCCCCACTACGTGCTTGGTCATGGGAGTTTGAAGTTGACGGCTCAGCATCCTGCTTACAGCCAGACGTGTGGGTCAGACAAAAGATAAAGATTTAGACTTTGGCCATAACACGTCGTCAGTTTAAAATAACTCACTGGCTAGTAGCCCAGGTTAGGTCTTTATCTTCTTCATAATTACAGCATGACATAAAATTATACAAATCTTACATATATAGACGTCTATAGCGCCTTAAGACTTCCTGAAAGAGCCATGTGTGTACAATATATATGACCAAGCACACTAAACAGCAATCGTAGAAGACGAAAAGCAGCAGGAATCCCAGATAAGCGCAAAGCAATAATGTCAAAGTGCATACTATTAACTGGGCCAAGCAGATCCATTTGTGCTTAAAAAAGGCTGTAAATATAATTTAAGATAAATAAATATTTACTAACTAAAATGTCTGCTTACAGCTCAGAAAGTAGAGGACATAAAAGACACATCCTATAGCTCCGTTGGGGGAACTTAGTTTGGTTATTTCACTAAGACCAAATCCGTCGCCATAGCTGAAGTTTATATACGAAATGTATAATATTTTCTATATAAAATACAAAATCTTTCTTACACTGATTTAAAGACCAGTGAGCAGCTAATGTTCTCATTAACATCACACATCGGCTTGTAGTTCTCATCCTCTTTCAGTTTCATTTTCACGTACAGTGAATACAGGGAGATGGCCAGTCCACAGGCGCATACCCATCGCAGCCGGGAGGTTGTACTGTCACCTGTCTGTTCCATTGCGTTGCTGTTTGGATAATGAGCTCATTCCTGCAGGATTCCAACTTACTATCAAAGGTGAGATGTCAGGACCTCGAAAAGACAGCTTTGTTGGCATCTGCGCAATAGGTAAAAAGCTGGATGCTTAGTTACCCTTAATGTGGGTATAAGGGAACTTATTCATTAATTAAAACTTAGTTTTTAATTAATCATAGTTGAGTTAAGTTATTAAGATATGCCTAAAACAGGCTCTATATATGAATTATTTTTATCTAGTAATTTCTAGAGAAATCTAATAAAACCCGAGTTAGGGTATACTAGTACAAGACCCGACCTTCTTTTATGACATTGCCTTGTTGTTTACCCAGTTGGGTTCGCATAAATTCCCGTTCTCATTTAATTTGATACGACACGAGGGCGAACGCAACAGGCAATACAAATAAAATGCTCAGCCCTGAGGGAGGTAGGTGACCACAAGGGTGCAAGGGTACTGTTTAAGTGAGAAGTCCCCTTACCCTGGGAACTATCACCTCCAGACCATCAAACGTGCACATGCATCTGCGGCAAACAACATCGCATTAGGCCACGCTCCATTGCATGCATATGAAATTAGCGAATGCGGCGACATTACATCCAAAATCCCAGACGACCAAGAGACATCTCAAGCCTGGGCCAAATCAGACTACAAGCTCATGAAGCTGCGACTCTCGGCATGACACAATGATGCCACCATCTCCATCTACATCTTTGGCCCCCACCCACCCACTCGCCATGCTGTGCTCCATGTCCCTTTTTAATTTATAGCCTCACGAATTTGAATTCATCTGTGTTCGGGTGTTTAATAATAAATATATATATAGGAAAAACAAAAAGGAAAAACAAGCAAGACCATCCACAGTGATATATAATATAAATCTATGTTAGCCATGAGGTAACCAAATGGAAACAATTTACAAAATTGCAGTAGCTCTGCTGCCCTCAGGAGTGAAGTGAAGTGATGAATTTACGCAACCTTGGAGTCAGTACTTTTGCTATACAAAAAATAGATATAAAAAATCAAAACAGTCACCGCAGCCAGAGACTTGGCACAGATATCCATTTGATATGGTAAACCCTTTCGAGCGGCTGTCAACTCGATTCTGAATCAAAGCCTAGCCTCACCTGGTCGATCGCTTAATAGTGTGCTACTGGAAAGGGGCTAGGGGTTTAGTGAACTTTACACTTCAATAGGTATTAATTCAGTTTTTACTCCAATTATATATTTATTATAGAAAGTACAAGTGTATAAAACATATTGATTCTCGATTTAATTAAAATGGCAACGCACGGCTAAAGGAGGAGTAAAGGAAAAAAAGGAGAAACTTATTCTCGCTGGTTCTTGGCAAACTCAAGAAAGATCTCCTCCAGCGTAGTCTGGCTAACGGAGTAATCCTCTACATTTAGCTGATTGCGATTCCTCTCCATCATTCCAAAAATGTTCGACCATTTCACACCATCCAACGGAATGTAAAATGTCAACAGACCGGAAGTATTTTCCCTGAAAAACAAATGAAAAAAATATATTTATAAAAATAGAAAAAAATGTCTAAATGAAATACTAAGTTAGGCACCCACCGGAGAACTGATTGAGGATAGTTGTTGCTGACGAATGCCCTGACAACATCGATATTTTGGATTCTGCGATCCGCGTTCACCAGATTTTGTCGCATCTTGATCTTCAGGATCAGGCCTTTGGAGAACTTGTTCTTCAAGTGCTGTGTGGATCCAAGGCACTGAAATTCTCCATTCACCATTATGGCTAAACGAGTGCACATGGCCTCGCACTCCTCCATGCTGTGTGAAGTTAGAATGATTGATTTACCAGAATCCCGAAGGCGGTTCATTGTCTTTGTTAATTGCCGTCTGGCCATCGGATCCATGCCGGCTGTGGGCTCATCCAAATAAATAACGGACGGATTTCCGATTACAGCTATGGCCGCGCTTAGCTTTCGCTTATTTCCTCCGCTAAAGGTTACAGTTTGTTTGTCTATGTGATTTATAAAGCCAAAGGATTTCGCCAGATCCATGGATACTCTTGTGATGCTTTCACCTTGGATGCCGCGTAGAAGGCAGAAAATTCGCAACACTTCGCGACCAGTGAGTCCTGTAGGCAATGCATCGAACTGCGGACAGTAGCCAATCATTTTGTAGATATTGCTCATGTTCCATCCCATTCTCTGACCTTGGACATGGGCAGTTCCCGAGGTGATCAATTCTTCGCCGGTTATCATCTTGAATATGGTGGTTTTTCCGGCTCCATTCACGCCCAGCAAACCAAAACATTCCGATCTGAATCATTATAAATACATATCATGAGATCAGTAATGGAAAGGGAAACGTGGTGACACAGATCAAGAAAATTCAGAGTTTTCAAACTTACCCCTTAACACAAAGCGACACTTGATCAACGGCTAGAAATCGACCATAGTACTTGGTGACCCTATCCAGTACCAGGTTCTTCGAAGCTATCTCATCTTGGGTCATGTTAACAGTGAGTACTCGTTCTTTTGTTACGTCGTCGTCTAAGCGGTTATTGGTTGACGGAAAAGGTTTTTTACTAACCAAAAACGAAACACAAGTATGTAAGACAAGAAATATCGTTGAGAAACCAAAAATACTCACTATAGCATCTTCTGAATCTTTACTCTCGCCACCAAGATCAATCGGTACTCCATCAGGAAAAGGATGACGAAAAAGAAAATACCAGAAGCTATCATGCAGACCAACTCGGGCAAGAGACCATCCCAAGAATACAAATTAACTAGGAATTTAAAGTAGTTAATCAATATAAAAGGATTTAAATGATTGTGAAATTGGGAAGTGCCGTAAAAAGTAATCTAAATAATACTCACGAGAGCATAACTGCGTCGATTGGAAACTCTCCCAATCTGGGTGCTTTTGTGAGGCGTCGCACAAAGTTTTTTTGTACATAAAATGCGAAACTTTATAAAAACCTGCTCCCAGGGAATACATTGGAGAAATACGACTGATCCAATATTCGAAACCTCGATTGTCACCGAAGTCACGGTTAATTATTTTTACCACTACATTAACAAGAAGCATACCGATTCCCAAAAAATAATTTATAGTGTTGCTCCAAGAATATCCAGTAGCAGGTTCTTTGAAGAACAATGACAATATGTACATAAGAGGCAAAGCGGAAAATCCATAAAATAGTAACAAAACAAAGTAGCTAAAAAGTTCCTCGAAATTGTCTAGCAACTGAAAACACACGATCGTGAGCACCACAATCAAAGCCGTCAGGATGTTGGTAGCGAAATCGCAAACAAATTGTGACAACCAAAATGTCCAGACTTTCACGCCCCCGACATACTGAAGCAACTTAGCCCTGCATCCACGCTCCACTATCGGAAATAATATATACATCGAGCTTACAAAACTCATGCTGAGGAACAGGGCAACGGCAACCACTCCCACATTCTTGAATTTTGTAAGAAGATTGGAATCAGTGGATAGATGGAACTGCAGAGGTGAATTAGTGACCTGGATTTGTACTTGTGGACCCACTAGAGCCTTAGCCATGGCGTTATGTACCATGTTAATAGTGAGTGGAGCAGTGTGATAAGCTTGGTTGTTCAGCCTGGCAATAATCCTTGATTCGAAAAACGTGGCGGCTACCAAGTACTGTGAGTTAATTCCTGTTTGTTTTTTTCCACCGACATCAAGGATGTAGTCCTGAAGATGACGATTGGTTAACAGAAAGATTGCCTTCTAATCGTTTTTTACTTACCTCAAACCTCCTTTTGCCCGTCTCCTCCAGTCTATAATTATCCCCGTACGATTTGGCCAAGTCAGCGTATTTTCGACCTATTTTATAAGTCTCCGAGTGGTTTCTCACACTTGAAAGATCTAGAACAGTCACAGCCGAGGGATACTGAGTTATGGAAAAGGTCATCGGCTTCAATTCGTCATTCTTAATCCCGGACAAGTAGCCAATTAACAAAAATATTACTGGGATGACATTAAGAACGAACAGAAGCAACTTATTTCGCCACATGGATAGGAGCTTCTTTAGCAACATTGCCTTCCATTGATTCAATACAAGTTGCAGTCCCCGGAGCTGTTGTCGATTCTCAGATAAGAGTCCGAAGGCTGCAAGTATTTAATTGGGATTATCAGGAGACCATTTAAGTTGATTTAATACTACTTACACTCAACGGACTTGTACTCATCGTCGCTACGGTATTTGGTGTCACCGTTCTCGCTTCGGTCCTTTACTTTACCAGTGCTGTCCTTTTCGGCGCCGATCTTCATGAAGACCTCTTCTAGCGAGGTGATGTTCACACCATAGCCATTTAGATGCAGTTTACCGGAGTTCTGATTCAGCTGTTCGAACATCTCTTCGAACTCGGGAGAAGCACTATCCGGTAGTTGATAGGTCAACTCGACACCAACATTAGAATGTGGCTTCAGATTCGGAATGAAACGGTTCAGAAGGTCTGTCACCTTTTTCACTTCGCAGCCCTTGCCCTTAACACAGATCTGTAGTGAGTAAGCAAGATCCTGAAGTAAGTCCAAGATATGATTATAATTTGTATCTGAGCTTACCAATTTGTACCCCGATCCGTATTGTTTTTTCAAAAAGAATGGCGTTCCAAGGCACTCCAGGTTGCCGTCACACATGATGGCAATGCGATCGCCCAAAACATCGGCCTCGTCCATGTAGTGTGTGGTTAGCAGAAGGGTGCGTCCAATTTTTTCCTTTTGAAGGATATCCCACAAATGCCGTCTGGCCGATGGATCCATTCCCGAACTCGGCTCATCTAGCAGCACCACCTTAGTACCACCACATAAGGAACAGCACACGGAGAGTTTACGCTTCATTCCACCAGACAGTTTCGATGAGGGCACATTTTCCTTGTCCTCCAGGTCGATCATTTTCAGATATTTGGCCACCTCCATCTCGACTTCCTTACCACGCAGACCTTTTAGTTGACTGAAGAATCTGATGTGATTTGACACAGTCATTTCATCAAAAAGAACATTGTGCTGCGGGCAAATTCCCATTGACATGCGAGCTTCTTCGGTATTGGTGGTAATATCATAGCCATTTATGATGGCTGATCCGCTCGTCGGCGGAATCATCCCCGTCAACATTGATACGGTGGTGGTCTTGCCGGCTCCATTGTGACCCAGTAAAACCGTAATTTCATCCTTGTACATATTCAATGTTAAGTCTTTGACGACCGTCTTATTGGCAAAGCGTTTTCTCAGATTTTGTATCCTTAAGCCGATCAGTTTGCCTTCCGTTTCGCTTTCAAAAGCCGAGGGATTCAATTGAATTCTGTTTCCTAAATCAAAATTATCCTTTTCTATACTCTTGATACCCCAGAATTCTCTGGTAAATGGAAAGTTCCAGGGACGGGGCACTCCAAAATTACCAGGGCTCACTTGCTCAATATACAAGCAAATTAGCGTAAATATGACACTGGAAACCATCATCATGATCATCACAGCTCCGACGGTCAAAGAATCGCCGTCGGATGCAGGAGTAAAGATATAACTCCACTGAAAACCATCCCCAGTTTCCTCAAAGTTAATGATCAGATTAAAGCCATAACCAATGGCCGTGTTTGGGATTAAGCTCCAACCCAGTTTGGAGCTTAAACTAATGTTTCCGAAGGTAAAGTAATATGGAACATGAGAAAGTATGAAGATAACTGACGTGACTGTAGATGCCGTACTGGCCCTCGAGAATAGAACGGCCATCATGAAGGAGAAGCAGATGCCAGCAATTAAATATGTAATTAGAAAAAAAAGAACGGCAGTAAAACTAGAAGTAGCTAGCAAAGGTCCATTCGACATATTGATTTTGAGGCAAATGGTGATTATTGTGGCCAAAATACTGAGCGGTATAAAAGCCTTGACAAACCAAGCCGCCCAGTGAAGCCAGTTCCTCAGCCCCATTATCTTCATAACCTCCTTCAGCTGTTTCTCCTTCTCGGCGGCGATGAACTGCAAATGAGAAAGCCAGGAAATGCATAATCTATATATTTGTTCATCAATCCTGCTATAGACACTTACTTTAATGATGTTTATGAAGGAATAGAAGAAGCACATGATGATGAAAAATGGGGCAATGAAGGTACAAGCAGCGAATATGTCATCTTTTTTATATTCGGGATATGGATAGTGCTGAATCGTCACATCCGGTAGGCTATTCCTAAGCGACTTTTGCCGTATATATGCCATTGAAATTTCCTGTTGCAAGGCCAGAAAACCCTCTCTATAATAACCAGGAGTTTTATGGTTTTGTTGTCCCCTAAGATTAAATGTGGGAAACAATTGGCTCGTTAGCCAAGTATTTTGCTCCAACTCATATGCTAAACGCAATTTGGATGGAAATCGCAGCGTAAAGTGAAAATCATCGGGAATATGATCGGTAAGATTGGACCAAGAATCATCGAACTGAATGCCGGCGAAGGCATTTTTATTAATCACATCGCCTTCCAGCTGAGCGGCATTCTTCGATGCGTAGTATTTTTCGAAAGGAAGATTCTTCATCGCCTCCAGTACCAGTTTGTCCAGCAAATCATTCTTTGGTGAGTAGTATACGGGCAGGTCGGATAATCTGTCATCACTTAATTAAAAATCAAGAATAATTCAAGATGACTAATTAAAAACATTTTCTCACCTCAATAAAATGAGATTTATATTTTTTAAATTATTGGTTTAAAAATACAACAAATTTAATTTAAAGTTTTTCTGATAGTTACATTTGAATTTTTTTTTAAATAACTTTTTTTTTTTTTCAATTTTGTCCAAATAAATCTCATTTGTCTCAAATTTTTTATTTTATTATTATTATTTAAAAAAGCAACTAAAAATTTCGAAATTAAGTGACTGCACATAACTTACCTAAGTGACATTAAAAATAATCTGGAATTTGACGGGTAATTTTCGGTATAGTTCGTGATATTTAAATGTTTTATCGGGACCTTATCTCGTATTAAAATAAGCAAACCAGTGAACAGAAAGGGTAGCAAGAGTTCTCCAAAAATCAATTTCTTGTGACCCCATTGGATAATCCAATTCTTCCACAGCAGCAGGACAAACTTGTCCCAGTTTGACATTTTGCACTTTTATTTTATTAAATTATTCGCAGATTTGTAGTCCATTATATTGTCATTAGAAGCACTACAATTAATATGACCACTTAAAACACTCAGTTTTTGTTTTTTTTTATAATAAAGAGGACACTCTGGAGGTGGATTTTCAAATTGAAATTATTAATCCGATTTAAGAAAAATAGTTTAACTTTTTATTATAGATCTGCACTCTGGAACAGGCTGTTGGTAACTGAAGAATTGACCCTAAACCGTAGCTATATATGTTTTCTTAATTCTAAATTAATATTCCAAATTTATGCTTATCTGAAAAGCGATAAATCCAATCATAAGTCATAAAAAAACCCTTGAAATGTTTCATATCCGCAAAAAATATTTTTATACCCTAACTAGAGGTGTTATAATTTAGGTCAGAAGTAAGGAAAATTAATTACCATAAAAAAACATAGTCGATCTATATTAAGTTTATCCAAGTGTGCTTGTTCTAAATATTATTATTTTTCCATTGTTTAGGTTTTAGGTTTTTGATTTCGAATCGACCCTAATCCGTAGCATTATATGTTTTCTTAATTCTAAATTAATATTCCAAATTTTTGCTTATCTGAAAAGCGATATATCCAATCATAAGTCATAAAAAAACCCTTGAAATGTTTCATATCCGCAAAAAATATTTTTATACCCTAACTTGGGGTGTTATAATTTAGGTCAGAAGTAAGGAAAATTAATTACCATAAAAAAACATAGTTGATCTATATTAAGTTTATCCAAATGTGCTTGTTCTAAATATTATTATTTTTCCATTGTTTAGGTTTTAGGTTTTTGATTTCGATATTTCGATTTTTTAGATTAATTTATTTAGATTATTGATTAATAAATGAATTCATATGAAAGTTAAAACGCAAAGAAATGATTTACCAAGAAATAAATAAATTTACATATAACATTTTTAGTTATAATAGTAAAGTATAAATAATATATAAGTATAAGTCTATTTTATATTATTATTGACTTTTGCATTTTGCCTAACATTATATACGCGATCTGGGCTTGATTAAACATTCAAAATGTTTTTATTTCAAATAGTTTTTACTTTGAAAACCTAATGTAATCTCGTCATAATGCTAGTTTTGTACTTTTCAGTTCCCTATTCCTAGCATAATCTGTAGATCTTGCAGCTGGTTTTCTTCAAGCACGCGTTGTGTTGCTCGTCTTGAACAAGTTTTGCTGTGGATCCGTGATCGAAATCTAGTGAAGTGCTCAAACAAAAGCGCCTTAAGCCTCAAGTGCAGCTGACTGCGAAATGATGGAGCTTGACAATTATGATTACGATTATGAAGGTGAATGCTTTAAAAGATGGAACTTGGCTTTTGTTGTCGGCAGTTCTTGTGGCCCGTTGCACGTGCAACTGAAAAGGAAGTTAAGGTTACTGATTCTCGAGATGTGGCAATTGCGAACACATTTGTATGCCTCATTTGGCTTAATAAATTCGTAATTAATTAGAATCAAAATGCAGCAATTGCCAGAGTAATTTAATGCTAATGATTTTGTTTTTATGAATATTTTAAGAGTAGCTTTGGCAAGATCGAAGTTGCATATCGATTTGGTGGATCATAACACTTTTATTTTTGGCTATTGAACTCTCAGTTCTCCCTAAAATAAATCAAATGAGTTGTTAAAATTCTCTGAATTCCAAAGTATAATCCCTCATTGAAACTTAACAAAATATATATTTTTTTCTTATCGTGAATACAAGTCAACTGATAAAATCAAGGCCCAATAAATTGGTTTTGCAATTGTGCTAGAAGCACTTGCGATGGACTATAGTGGGACCCACTTCCTCGTATTCCCTGCTATCGATCCATGTATTTTGGAAGCTTGTGAGCGAGGAGAGTACGGAACCACCTGTCCAAACAGAAAATCTGCGGTCTGGACTGGCATTGATCCTAATCCTTATGGACGCTGGGGTCATTTTATTTAGCTCTTGCAGGAATCTATGTTCGATATTGCGGAACATGGAAGTTCCGCCGGAGAGCACTATATTCGCATATAAATCCTTTCGCAGATCCATGTCGCAGTTGTTGATCGAGTGTTGGGTGGCCTTGTGGATGCCCATTACCTCCTGGCCCAGCAAATTGGGCTGGAAAAGAGCCTCCGGACAGCGGAATCTCTCACTGCCCAATTGAATCTTTTGACCATCGGGCAGCTCATAGGTATCCTCCTGTTGTTCTTCCCTTTTAAAATCCTCCAGCTGGAGATTCATTTCCTGGTCATAATTCATTGACACATAACAAAGTTTCTCCTTAATATCACGTACGATTTCCCTTTCTGCAGAAGTATTCATTTTTAGGCCCTTCTCCAAGAGCAACTTGCATAGATAGTCAGTGAGATCCCGGCCAGCTAGATCGACACGAACACAGGCATGGGACAGGGCAAATCCTTCGTAGATGGGAACCGTGTGGGTCACACCATCACCAGAGTCTACAACGAAGCCCACAGTGCGCCCGGTGGCGTAAAGAGAGAGTACAGCTTGAATGGCTACATAAAAAGCGGGAACACTAAATTGCTCAAACATAATCTCCGTCATCTTTTCTCTATTCTTCTTTGGGTTCAATGGGGCTTCGGTAAGGAGAGCCGGCAAGTCCATTGGATCCACCCGTAACTGCTCATAAGTGTGCTCCCACAGCTGCTCCATATCATCCCAGTTAATTACAACACCGTGTTCAATGGGATATTTAAGGGTAAGTATCCCCCTTTTCCTGGCTGCCGCATCGCCAACAATGGTGTCATTGATTAGAGGATCAACCAGGACATTTAAGTGTCGCGGCCTGCCGACAATCGAGGGGAAGACTGCGCGAGGAGCGTCTTCCGCTGAAAAGCCGGCCTTAATTACCCCAGAACCATTATCTATAACCACAGCGGTTTTGTGAGAAGGGCTATTATGCTCGCTGCTCATTACTCCAGATGCTGCAGAATATAAAACTAAATAAAGCCTATAAGTGTTAAGGAACTTACGTATTTGTAGATTTTTGTAGAGAATATTAAGTGCTCGTTTATCCGTTACATCGATTGTGATACGGGAAGGTATATGAAATGTCGACATGTTGTGTGCTATGTTGTTGTGTCTGGATGCTTTCAGCTAAGTGGTTTTCAAAAGACATAAAATTCATGGGTAATTTCGAATTTGGCGCCTTAGTAGGTAGTGCTGGCGGTATTCGGTATATTATTTCCTAAACAGCAGTTAATCAAGAATTATCGATATTTGAAAGGCTTGAAAATAGCTAAAGAAAATATATTTGAGGATTACATTTGTACCAAGTATTTAAAATTAAAATGTTTGTTATTTTTGCAAAATGAAATAACATTAAACACATTTTTATATATCTTACTTTTGCAATGTAGCCAAAAGACAGCTAACCTGACAACAACAACACATTTATTTTTATTTTCGATATTTTCACTACCTGCCCATCTCTAGAAATAATTTGTTCAAGAAAGAAAAGCAAAAATCAAGTAGGTAAGCCTTGTTTTATTTCGAAATAAAACTCTGATCAAACCTAAGTTTAATTTGCAGTTGTATAATTTGCAAAGATGTTTGTGGCCCGTAGAATTTCTCAATCAGCAAGGTGAGTTACAGGGGAAAAGTGGGAAAAAATGCCAAAATCGATGCCGGTCGATTACATAAATAGCAACAAATGGCGACCCTGATCTTGAGGATATTATAAAACAAAATATGCTTAACCCATTGTAGCCTGGCTGTACGCGGAAAGCACACCTTGCCAAAATTGCCATACGATTATGCCGCCCTGGAGCCTATTATCTGCAGGGAAATTATGGAACTACATCACCAAAAGCATCATCAGACCTATGTCAACAATCTAAATGCCGCGGAAGAGCAGTTGGAGGAGGCCAAGTCGAAAAGTGATACCACCAAGCTTATCCAACTGGGTCCGGCTCTGCGATTCAATGGCGGTGGTCACATCAATCATACTATCTTCTGGCAAAACCTTTCGCCCAACAAGAGCCAACCTAGTGAGGATCTGAAAAAGGCCATCGAATCGCAGTGGAAGAGCTTTGAAGAGTTCAAGAAGGAGCTGAGCACTTTGACCGTGGCGGTTCAGGGCTCCGGCTGGGGCTGGCTGGGCTACAACAAGAAGTCTGGCAAACTACAGCTGGCTGCTCTGCCCAACCAGGATCCCTTAGAGGCCTCCACCGGACTGATTCCCCTCTTCGGAATCGATGTCTGGGAACACGCCTACTATCTGCAATATAAGAATGTGCGACCATCTTATGTGGAGGCCATCTGGGACATCGCTAACTGGGACGACATCTCATGCCGCTTCCAGGAGGCGAAGAAGCTTAGCTGCTAAATGTAAAAAGCGGTTATCTATGTCTAATCTATAAGCATCTGCGGATCGGAGATCCCAAATTGTAGTCTCAGTTGCAGCTAATAAATTGGTAAAAGCTAGCAGCTAATTCATAAAATAATTGGATAAAAATTATGAGGGAGCAATTAAAATTAAAAACTTGAAATAAAATTTTAAGGATAATCTAGAAAGATTTTATTTTGAATAGACTTACTTTGAATAGTTTAAAAATTAAAAATCTAAATTTGCACATTTTCCAACACTGGCAACATAGTGTCACCTCTATCAAATCAGCTGTTCGCAAACAAAAACAAAAGTCAGCCTGCCGCGGAATTGGGGGCGGAAAATTGACATTTCCCTGTGAATTTTCCCGAGCTTGCGTTCGCGCAGCTGCAAACAATTTTCCAGCACGCGTATCCGAATAACCGAATGGTAATGATGGGACAAATGGCCAGCCGCTGGCAGAGTCGTTTGTTGCCTGTTCGCGTAATGGCCATTCTCGAAAATTGCCAGAACTTTTAAAAACGAAACAAAGGAAAACCATTTAATTTCCTGTGGGCGGTGACGAAAAGAAAGAAAAAACATTCAAAAATTTAAACCCTTGAGTGCAATAATAATTTAAGAGTGATTGTGAGTGTTTGTGAGGAAAACTTTAAAGGAGGAGTTGCCATTTAAAAAAGTGAGTAACTAACATTAATACTTTATTAATTCAAACAAAATATAGAAAAAAACACTAGTACTGAAAGTAATTTCGAATTATTTTGTGAAAAACTCCACTTGACTGTATTCGGGAGATTGTGTGAAAAATCAATATTCCATAGCTAGTTGCCCCAGAAGTGCGCACGCATCTCCCTTGGGGTAGCCACTTTTCCGACTTTCCTATCCTGTTGCGGATCCTCCTCCAGGTCCTTTACCAGCTGTCCGCCCCCTCTTATTGTTCTAAAAATAAAACCTCTTGACTGTTATTCGCGAACCTCCCTGAGCATATGGTGCAACCTGTCATCCATATACAACGTTGATATCCAGACCATCCAGAACAAACGCATTTATGCGTTGCGACCCACGCCTTTTGGTATTTTATCGGCTCGTCAATTGACGTCAGGAATGGAAATCGAGTTACCAGGAGGGGTTGGTTCTATAGTCGGCATGGTTCTGTATCCAAGCAAATCCATATCAAATGTTTGCCGACGGAGAACCTCTGACCTTTGACTGATGAGGAAGAGTCTGAAACGACAGCCTTCACCTCGATCTGCGACTCACTCAGTCAGTGCATCCTCGCTCAAGTGGCAAATTTGTGTGGGCGGATATATGGTCCATCGCACAAAGGATGTTTTATGTCTGTCTCTCTGTCTGCTTGATTGTCAGGCGTGGGCAGCGGATTTTCCTTCAAATATCCTCTTTTTGAAGGAGTACTTTGTTGTATAGTTGAAAATCATCAATTATCTATAAAAAGGTCAAAGGTTTATTTTCTTTGAAGGCAAAGCTTAATATTTTCAAATATTATTATACAAATATTTTACAATCTTTCATATTCTAAAATGATATTTTTTCTCAGTGCTAAAGGGTGCGTCATGTCCACAGACACTGGAGTGTGATTATAGTGACCAGCTTGATTGAGAGATTAAGTGTGCAGTAGATTGGAGTGGGATTAGGCAGCTTGTTTGCTAGCGATTGTTGTTTGTTGTCCTAATAATAGGGCAAATCTCAAGCAAGGTCTCACACTCTTCGACCCTCGGGAAAATATTCTTTTATCAGCTTTAAGTTCAACTTAAGTCCAGTGCCTTATGAACAAAAGAGTGACCCAAACGAAAGGCTTTTGAAAAACCGCAGCTTACGAACCGCCCCATGAAGTGGCTTCCAAAGTGTCATGAATAAATAAGGCAAAATACTTATACAAAAAAAGTAAAAAGAAGCAGGATCCATGGCAAAAAAGTGCCCAGTGGGGTTCCGAGCAATAAACATAAATTTCCGCAGAGCAGCATTAAAAAGGAAAATGGTAAGAGTGGGGAGTAAAACTCACCTGGACGCGAAATGGCTTCCTGTTCTGACAATTTTCCCCTTGTTTATTATTAATTGTGTTAGCCAAGGAAAAGGACCAAAAGCTTGTGGTTGTCCGAAATGATTTATGTTACCTCTCTGGTCTGCACTTTTAAGTGTTCCTCATTGCAGTTTTTGCCCGGTTTTTTTTTTAAAGGCGTGGCAGCCGCTCATTGCGGTCTACTTCATCATTACGTGGGGTCGGTCAGCTCCCCAGAAAAGTAGGCAACAAAAACCGCTCGAAATGGAAATCACTTGCTAATCAACGTGTCCTGGCAGCCGCGTGTGTGCAAATTATATCCTACATATATGGAGCGACAGCTAGGCACCGAAAGTTACAACATTCCATGCCAACATCGGTGCTGCTCTGCGTGGCAAAATAAAAAAGTTACAGAGTGAGAAAATTTGCTGACAAAAGAATAGAAATTGGCAACGAAACTACAGAAAAATATATTTTTTAATCCTTTTTTTTTTTAAAGAATAATATAAAATGTTTTAAATATATTTATTAATATTAATAATCTATAAAAGTAAATAGCTGAAAGTTCTTTTCTTAAGGATTTTCCCTCTCTGTAGCAGACGTACTGAGTAAACAAACCTTGAATTTATGAGAACCGAAACAGAAATAAAAAAAAATTGGGAAGTGGGAGGAAAAACAGGGCCTGGCGTGGAAGTCAGGAATGTTTGGCTCTTGAAAGATGATTCACCATTTGGTTCGCTCTTTCTTCCTTCCTTCCTTTCTTCGTTCCATCCTTATGTCCTGTTCCTTGCCCTCTGCTTTTTGGCATTCCCACTACGTTGCGACGCGACTGTAGCCACTCACATACAAACATTTTCCTTGGATGACTCATCCGCCATTTCAATTTGCTTCTGTATTGGTGTGCTACGACTGTGCTTGTACGTTTTTGCGTGGGGCAGGCTTTCCTCATCGCCTTTCTCCTTTATTTCTCCACCATATTTTCTTATTTTTTCCCCACGCTTTCATTGCAATGACTTAAATAACCAAATCGCATTTATCGTTTATGTTCTAGACTTAATGGAGGACACAAACACATCTACATTTTGAGCTTTAAGTGTCCTGGGGGCTTTCAGAGAGCAAACGAAAAGAAAAAACGGACGGAATTACGAGAGGTTTTTATATACACGTGTCTGTCATTCTAAGAGCTCTTACTCTCCTCTTTCCTCTCAGTCATAAATGTCATTTAAGCTGCGGGAAGTTGAAAATTGAATTTAAATTTAATTTCGAAGACTAGCCTGTGGCTAAACAAAAAGTGAAGTGCATTTAAGCCACACTCAGATGACTCATACGCTGTGTGGTCTGTGGCTGAAGCTTAACGTTTTAATTGCTTGATCCTGGCCCAAAAGAGTCAGCGAACTCGAATGATGCAGCGGAAAATTGAAATGTTTTGGCTCATGAACTGTCATTGACATTCGCTGGTGGAAAATCCTTAAAGCTGTTGGTGAAAAAAAAAGGAATTGCGCAGCCAACAATAAACGTCAACGACCCGGCTTTTCCCACTCTTTTCCTTCATTTTCCCTTAGCCACACACGCGCTCGATATTATTTGGTTTCCTTTCAGTCTGTGTGTGCTTTTCATTCCTCTTCTCTGGCTCTTCAATCCCGGGAAAATTCTGCGCAGTAATCACAAAATCTCAGCAAGGTGTGCTTCAAAAACTAATAAGTATCAGAATTCTACATTTTGAAAACTTTAAGGGAATACTTTATTTTTTTAAGTAGAATAAAAGTAAAAAAGTATCAAGTTTAGGCAATCACTATAGTAAATTTTTGACTAGTATGAAATTTAGAAAATGAGATTTGTGAGCGTTGTTCAAGTTTGTCCTGCATCTAAATATCGCCAATCGCAGCTGAAACTTCAGGGTCTTCAATAATCGAATGAATAAATTCAGCATGAACTAGGATAGCGAATAGTAAATAGATCATATAAACAGCTATCGAGTATACTCCCATCGATCGGCGAGCGAAAAATCCAAGAGTTGTGGACCACAGAAGTATGGTAATTAGATTTATATGGAAAAACATATAAGCGAATAAACCATATCGTTCCATTTGTTCACGATCGCTAACCACATCACCTAAAAAACTTCTAACATATATAACTGCATTTCCCGTAACGACGATAGCTAAAAATGTATTTTATTATATTAACACTTAAAATAAATTAAAAGTACTTACTAAAAAAAGGACCACCAATGGCGGATGCAAATGCCATTTTTGGATAGCCTTGAAAAGCCACAGATAAGTTAGCAATTAGCGTACCCAAATTTCCAGTAACAGCCTTTACCGTAGCACCCATAAAGTCATCATCTATGGCCATTAAGTTTCCAAGTACTTCGAGTACTCCGTCGATTTCCGTTGCGCAGATAAATATTAAGGTCATGGAGCCAGTCAGATTCATTATCATAAATATCTGGAAATAAGTATCTCATGATTTGTTAGACGAAGTCTGTGAAGTTATCCTCTGATGTGTCTCACCCAGTGATAAGCTGGTGGCACATCAGTCCTCGAATGGATGAGTACGAACACAGCGATAGGCACGGTGATTACAAGAGAGTAAGCTCCATATACAATCTTTTGATCCAAATCCGAGTACCATAGTCTATTTCTTTTACCTTGTAAAATAGCTACGGTTGAAAAAGAAATCAACTAATTATTTGCCATTTCAAATGCTAGTCTTAGTTTTTATCTGTGACAATAATAATGTATAGAATAGTTTCCTCTTGAAAGTACTCACACATAATGGCCGAAATGGATAAAGCCGGATTTACTATCACATGAAGGCAGTTTAGTAGCTTGTTCCAGCCATGTTTTTTCAATTCATAATCCACCAGTGGAATGCATAGGGTGCAGATGATATCGGCTGGTGCCCTGAGCAACAAAAGGACCCGATTGAGCATATCAGCCTGCCGCCAAGCCTGGCACTTGATGGGCCTTAGTGCTAAGAAAAAATCCTTGAAGATTCTCGCATTCTTCGGGTTTCTTCTGTCGTAGTCTGCAATTCTGGAGTAGTGTCGGTTCAAGCTCACGCGAGTATTTCGCACCATTTGCAATGTGGTGTATCGAATTCTGGTTATCGAGAGCTGACTGCTTTTCTCATAAAACTCCACTTCCCTATCTTGGGAATAGTATTTATATCTTTTCTCTAGCCGTTTCAACAATAATTCGTTTTCCGGCGTTAGTGCTTGGCCATTAAGCTCATTTATTTGTTCTACCGTGGCTAGAATAATAATTAAGTAAACTATAAAATTGTATTTTATTAAAACAAAAAAAAACATAAATGCTTACATCTTAAGGTTTTCCGCAATAAGTAAAAATCTGTTATATTGACAATTATATAGGCGACGTAGACCATGAATACAACTGAAATTATTTACAGTTTAAATATTAAGTCAATAAATACTTTATGATATATTAATGTTATTTTATAGCTAAAGCATATAGAAATAAGAATCTTTAGAATTCTTAAATGTTTACTTACTGAGAAAATAAGATTCATGACCGTGAGAGGTATGGGCTGTGAGAACAATGATTAGGTCTATCATTGATGCTCCACAAATTAAAAATAAAATATCCCGAATAGTTTCGTAGCCGTTCATCTTAAAGGGAGATATATAGCATATTAAGCCACCGGAAATCGTTATCACAAACAAGGCAGATGACAAACTGTTGGCAAACACGGGTGCTCTTTCCTTAACGTGGGCCAAGTTAGAGAATAGATCGGCGGAAGAGTTACCAAATGCCAATAAGGTGACACCCGCCAAGTGCTCGTTCATATGAAGGCTTTGGGATATGGCTTTTAGAGCTGGGATATAGCTATAAAGAAGAAATTAATAAAAAATTAAAATAAATTTGCATTATAAACTCTTTTAACTTACTAATCATTGATCGTGTGAATCAACATAACCAGTATTAGAAAACAGATCCCCACGAATATGTTTACAAAGATTACTTTCTCGAAATCATTGACGCACTTTAGATCGCAGGATAGGAGTTTCATGTATGGTACCAAATTGGTGGTCAAATTGCAGTCCACAGCTTGTTGGACAAACGCGCATCGCTCCTCGTAGGGAAAATTGTTGGCTGCAAAACAACTAACCTTTAACCAAAAGTTGTCAAATTCGCTATCCATAACATTGGGCTTAACATTTTTGGATTTTGTTTCTAGTTCAGCGGCGCGAGACATTGTAGTATTTATTGTTAGCAAGCCGAAATCTGTGTAATATGTGTGTTAAGTGGATAAAATGTGACACTTTTGCTGGGATTACTTTGATCATTTCAGTTCCTAAAGTTGTAACTTAATTGCTGATTTGACTGTATGTATTTCTGATATTAAGTTATTTTACATTTTTATTATTTTCTTTAAAGCAGCAACACTTTTAAAAAGAAACATTTAACGTTGCAAAGAGCTACATCAGTAGACTTTCCTCTTCCAGTTTTTCCTTTTAACATATCCCAGCCGTCAGCCACATCCTTCCATACCATCCCACTTCCTAACAAAGCTTCAACATCCAACTTTTTTACTGTCCTGCCACCGTCGGCGTGAGATTTCAATGTCAATGTAATTACGCCGGAGAAGTATAGTATACAAATGAAAGCCACCGAGTACCATAAAAAGCCAAAGCTTGTCCTGCGTCTCGGTGCGATGGGAAATCAATAGAAAGAATTCATTTTACGTCATCAGCTGGTGGATATAGTCGTCGCTATAGCCACTGTGCCGGTCGAATGGCTCATAATAAGATCAAACATTGGGTGGAAGTGCCACAGTGGCTGTCTGGAAAAGTGGACACCTTGCGTTAATAATGAAATTCTTTGTGTCAAACGGATGACAGGCGCGGGGGTATTTTGTTATTGTGGATCTCCCCGAGCTTTATAGATGAAATTTATGAAATTTTTCGCATACCCATATACACCTCACAGCCCACACAAATACTCGTAGATATATATATATATAAATTTTCCTCCACACAACCCCTGCCCTTCCAGTTTGTCCCCTTTTGGATAACGGCGCATGCGTTTCATGGAGGGCTGGTCGTCATATCCTCTGAACTTTCCCAGAGCTCACTGTGTCGTCTACCCTTAACGGGTGCAGTTCGTTCTGGTCTCGAATCGTGCGCGAATTTATTTCCAAAGGCCCTCCGCTGGCTGGCCATCGATTTTGTGCAGAAAAACCCAGAGTTTTCCCCAACGAAAAGTTGACCAAAAATTGTTAACACGGCATAGCCAAGTAAAGCAACTTACAAATTATAAATAAAACAAATTATCTGAGTGGCAAATTCAAGTTTTTATCTAATTTTTCCCGAAAGAAAAGGAGTGCAAAATTTTCGCTGTTATACAGAAAGCCAGACCCCTACATATACACATATATATTATATATATATATCTGTAATCTACAGATATATATGGGAGCCTATATATATAATAATCAAGAATCCTTAAGACAAGTCAAGACGAAGTTACGCGAATGTGCGCTTTTGGTTACTTATTGTTTTTTGCCCTATTGTTAACAACAATTTTGGTGCTGTCCATCATTTTTGCCACCACCTCGAAGCGTTCCATGTTGGATAGCTTTATACTAGTATTCAATTACACACAAGAACATCAGCCAGATCAAGAAATGCAACAACAACAAATGGACTATCAGCAGCAACCGCAAATGTTCTTGAAACAGAAAATATTTTGAGTTCTATAAGTTCCAAAAAAGAAAGCCCCGAAAAATAAAACGAAACAGAAAAAAAATAACAATTGGTAAATGCTTCAAAATATATTTGCAAAATTTCATCAATTCGCTCGACCAAACATTTCAAAATTCTCGAAAAAACATAGCCCATAATTTCGTTTTACATAATTTTGATTCGCCACTTATTTCCTTCCCATCCATCATCTATGTAGCAGAACAGTGGCCTCCAGAAAAGTGTACAAAGTATGTGTGTGACTGTGTAGAGTGTAGAGATTTGCTGGCTTGGTGTCCATGGCAAAGGCAACTTGAAAATTTATTAATAAAGGTCAAGAAGAACCCAAGCGAAGGATATTGTTCACGGCAGAGATGGTGTGTGCGCGTGTGAGTGCGGTTAGAGGTCCTTTGCATATGGCATTAAGTGCCCGCCGTGTTGCCCCCGCAGGAAGCCATAAAAGAACCAGAATATGACGCAGAAGGGCAATGAAAGCGAAGTAACGCGAAGGACCTCGAGTGTTTTGTTCGTTTCTCAAGTGCAAATGAGGGTTGACAGGAGTGACGAATAAGTTTTCAAGTGCCTTTAACCAGGTGGTAATCCGAGTTCAGGATAACAAGATGAGGACTTTCTGGAAAAGGATATAGCTGGATTTATTTTATTTACAATTTTTTCTTTATATATTTTTGTGCGCCTTCAACTTGCGTCAATTTGCATTTCATAAAAAAAAATTTAAAAAAATTAACATTACACAAATATTTTGCATATTCTATCTCACTTTCGCTCCCACTCTCTGTCTCTCACTCTTTCTGATTCTCTCAACTTTCTCTGCCTTCTCTCCACATTTCTCCTGTCCCGCGATTCTGCGCAATTCTTACTGTGTAGACTTTTTACTGCAGGCTGTTGCACATTTGCTTTGACAACTTGGCCCAAAAGCAACTGAACGAACAAAAAAGAAAACATAAACAAAAGTATTTTGGTCAGGTAAACAAAGAGAGAGAGAGAGAGAGAGAGAGAGAGAGAAAGAAAGGATGAGAAAGAGAGGAATTCTCACAGCTGCGCATTAGCCGGGAAATCATTGGAATAGTTTCTAAACTTGGTCTGACAATATTTCAGGACTCTAGTGTAGGCGAGTTAAAGAATTTGCTGGTCAAGTGAAGGAGCTACTGAAAAATATAAAAATTAAATATAAAAGTGGCTTTTAAAATACAATAAAAAAACGTAACAATTCCAACAAACCATAATTATTAAAGAAAAACGAAAAAGTGCATTAAAAAAGTGTAAAAAATACTTATATTTGTGCTATAATGAACTTGAAGGATTTAATCCTCCTTTAAGCCAGCTATTGTTTGGCCTTAACTAAAGGTAATTTAAGCCATATAAATGTTATAACTTTTCCTGTTAAATACAAAGTGTTACTTTTCTAAATCCCTATTAAAGTCATCCCCTTTTTATTTTTGGGGTGTGAGTGTTTTCCTTTATTCTGTCTTTTGTATTTGCTTGATGACTCATTCGAGTATTGGCCGACACTCGTCTGCGTTTTTATTGGAAGCATTGTGGATTGTGGAATTTTTCCCTTAGCTTCGAGAGTATGTTAGTTTGAGTGTGTGTCTGTGTGAGTCAAGAGGGTTGCGGGTCATACGAAACTATTTGCATAAAATCTTAATTCAAAAAAGTCGAAAAGTTACTGCAATTTGGGTGACTGGCCTTTAAATTTATGAATTTAAAGTTGAAAATGCAATAAAATCATATTTACATAAACTTCAATTATCGCTTTTCTTATACTTTTTCTCTTCGATTTTATAAGTTTTATACGAATACATTATTGTCTAACAAAGTTTAATCTTTAATTGTGTTCTTAAAAATTCATAACCTTAAATCAAGATAAATCTTAAAAAGAACTAAAGTTCTTCTACTTAATAGAAGATATTTATTATAAAACATTAGCCAATACATTCAAACCCCAAACCCACAAGAGGAAAACCAATTCTCATCCCCATCCCTGGCTTCAATTGAAATTTCCCTGGCGATTTGCCGGGGGCATGACTCATAGTTTCTCGAACAACCACATGAACAAATCGTGGACTTAGTACATAACCATAAAGTTGGGGGCAATTATAAAATGTCAGTGCTGGCAGTGGAAGTCTCGGGGCAATTTACAGCCCCACTCGAATGTCTTCAATCACTATAAAGTATTCCCTTTCCTTTAATTCCACTCCAGTTAATAGGAAACCAGGACACCCACTGAGAGGCACAGGACAAGATGTCGTCCGTTAAGGTGGCGGTGCGAGTGCGCCCCTTCAACTCGCGCGAAATAGCTAGGGAGTCAAAATGCATCATCGAAATGGCTGGAGCCACAACGGGTAAGAGTCCCTTAGAAAACTTTACATTTTTCTAAGCTAAATTTATAAATATGAAACCTACTTTCAGCTATCACCAATCCAAAGGTGCCGCCCAACACAAGCGACTCAGTGAAGCGCTTCAACTTTGATTACTCCTACTGGTCACATGATGTAAGTTTAACATAAAAAACAATATGTATTTCTTACTATAATACATTGTTATATAACAGCATCACGATGCGGACTTCTCCACACAATCGATGGTCTACAAGGACATTGGCGAGGAGATGCTGCAGCACTCCTTCGATGGCTATAATGTCTGTATTTTTGCATATGGCCAGACTGGAGCTGGAAAATCATATACCATGATGGGCAGGCAGGAGGAACAGCAGGAGGGCATCATTCCCATGATATGCAAGGATCTGTTCACTCGCATACAGGATACAGAGACCGATGATCTCAAATATTCGGTTAGTTTTAAGAACACCCTTAAGCTTTTACAATTTCTAACTTATTATTACTCATAGGTTGAGGTCTCATACATGGAAATCTATTGCGAGCGAGTGAGGGATCTGCTGAATCCCAAAAACAAGGGCAATCTGCGTGTGAGGGAGCATCCTCTCTTGGGTCCCTATGTAGAGGATCTTTCCAAATTGGCCGTCACTGATTACCAGGACATTCATGATCTCATTGATGAAGGCAACAAGGCTCGGTGGGTTTTTATTAATAAAATAATTTAAAGTTCATCTATTAACTTATTTGATTTGATAATTTTCAGAACTGTGGCAGCCACTAACATGAACGAAACCAGTTCCCGTTCCCATGCCGTCTTTACCATCTTCTTTACTCAGCGTCGTTATGACACCATGACCGATTTGACCACAGAGAAGGTCTCTAAGATTAGCTTGGTGGATTTGGCTGGTTCGGAGCGAGCGGATTCTACTGGCGCCAAGGGCACCCGCTTGAAGGAGGGAGCCAACATCAATAAGTCTTTGACCACTTTGGGCAAAGTTATCTCAGCTCTAGCAGAGGTGGTAAGTTTTTAGTGTTTATATCAACTTTATTGATTGAAAAAATATGCTAATGAAAAAACTGTCTCTTCTTGCTGCCTTACTACTATATAGTCTGTAAGTTTACCTTGCTTTCTCTATATCCTTTATACTTACTAATATATTTGGTTAACTTTAAAAGGCTTCTAAGAAAAAGAATACCAAAAAGGCAGATTTTATACCCTATCGCGATTCAGCCTTGACCTGGTTGCTGCGCGAAAACTTGGGAGGTAACTCCAAGACAGCTATGATTGCAGCTATCTCACCAGCAGATATTAACTACGATGAAACACTCAGCACACTGCGGTAATTCTTATTAATTAATTAAATTAATCTAAAAACTTAATAGTAATTAATTATAGCTATGCGGATCGTGCCAAGCAAATTGTTTGCAAGGCTGTGGTCAATGAAGATGCCAATGCCAAGCTTATACGCGAACTCAAGGAGGAGATTCAGAAACTACGAGATTTACTCAAAGCCGAGGGCATTGAAGTCCAAGAAGGTAAGTCGGGACTAGTCTTGAACTATTAAGTTTCAGTTCAAATACCTTCAACTAAGCTAGAGTACATTAAACCCAGCCACACATTCAAAACTTACTCGCTACACTAGAAAAAAGAAAAAGAAACACAACAAAAGAAAACCCTGCCTAAGGTAGTTATAGTCATAGTCTAGTAATGCTAGCTAAAAAAAAGAAAAGAAAAACAAAACCAAACCCAAACCTATTTCGTTTAGGACCCGATGGCAAAGTGGTGTGTGAGAAGCGCGATGCTAATAGTAAGTAAAGCCAACAGAAATTCAGCGCTAATAAACAACAAAAGGCTTCACATGCAACCAAAAATGTTAATAAATAAATATGCAAAAAATAAGAACAGTGCGTTTCAGAGCTTGTTAGTTGATATATATCATTCTCTCCGAATGTCTTCCTATGGTAAATGGGATATATAGTTTTGAAACGCACTGCCATTGTAGTTTAACCACTGCCAATAATCTTACATTTCTCTCTGTGTGTGCGTCTATATTGTGCTGTATCGTCAAAGCTTCTAAACAAACCGCTTCAGGACGAATATATATATATATATACGATTATATTATAACCAATACGATAATCACAATCGTGTCCTCTTTATGTTGCCCTATAATAATACACCAAAGAGACTTTATTTGAGTTGCCAAAGTCTAAAACAGAACGACAGGCACCGACTCCTCGCAGTCCGCACTGCTTCAAGGCTAGAATGTGGAAATGCCCGAGTTAATGCAGTAGTCCCCTAAAATAACCATAAACCATTGGCATTCGCTTCGTTCCGTATAAAACATATTATCAATATCCAATCTTTATGTATTTCATAAACTTATAACCTTAGCACGCTTATCACTGCGCTTGTGACATCTGTAATGATCAGAGATTCTTTGTTCTAATCCAACTTTCGTATTTACAGAGGACGAGCTCACAAAGTCGACGGTCATCAAGTCACCTACTAAGTCACGTAATCGCAATGGATCCACCACGGAGATGGCAGTGGATCAGCTGCAGGCCAGCGAGAAACTCATTGCAGGTAAGTCTCTATCATAAAGTCCTATCTGATCTTTCAATCCAATCATATTGATTTCACTATATATCTAACCCCCATAGAACTCAACGAGACTTGGGAGGAGAAACTCAAGCGTACCGAGGAGATTCGTGTGCAGCGAGAGGCTGTCTTCGCCGAGATGGGCGTGGCCGTCAAGGAAGATGGCATCACAGTGGGTGTATTTTCACCCAAGAAGACCCCACATCTGGTTAACCTTAACGAGGATCCCAATCTGTCCGAATGTCTGTTGTACTACATTAAGGAAGGCTTAACCAGGCTGGGAACCCATGAAGCTAATGTTCCCCAGGACATTCAACTCTCTGGATCGCATATCCTCAAAGAGCACTGCACCTTTGAGAATAGAAATAGCACGGTGACCCTGTTGCCGCACAAGGATGCCATAATCTATGTTAACGGACGCAAGTTGGTTGAACCAGAGGTCCTTAAGACCGGATCTCGTGTCATTCTGGGCAAGAACCATGTGTTCCGCTTTACCAATCCGGAACAGGCACGCGAATTGCGTGAGAAGATCGAGACCGAGAATGAGGCAGAGAACGAAGTGGAGAAGACCGATACTCAGCAGGTGGACTGGAACTTTGCCCAGTGCGAGTTGCTCGAAAAGCAGGGCATCGATCTTAAAGCTGAAATGAAGAAGAGATTGGATAACCTGGAGGAGCAATACAAGCGGGAGAAACTCCAAGCCGATCAGCAGTTCGAGGAGCAGCGTAAAACGTACGAAGCTCGCATTGATGCTTTGCAAAAGCAAGTGGAGGAGCAATCGATGACCATGTCGATGTATAGCAGCTACTCGCCGGAGGATTTCCATCAGGAGGAGGATGTCTACAGTAAGTTGATATTAAATAACGTGGAAGTACAAAGTAGTAATTCTATTGTAATCCTTAGCCAATCCCATGTACGAGTCCTGCTGGACAGCTCGTGAGGCTGGTTTGGCTGCCTGGGCCTTCCGCAAATGGCGTTACCATCAGTTTACCTCCTTACGAGATGATCTCTGGGGCAATGCTATATTCCTTAAGGAAGCCAATGCAATTTCCGTTGAGCTAAAGAAAAAGGTAAGACTTTGATCCATAAACTAACTTTGATCCATAACTAAACTATTTTGTTATTAAATATTCTTAACTCCTTTCCATTTCAGGTGCAATTCCAATTTACACTCTTGACCGACACCTTGTACTCGCCCTTGCCGCCTGAGTTGGCCTCAAGTGTTGCTCCTTTGCATCAGGAGGATGAGTTTGGAGCACCACCAGTATCAAAAACTTTGGTGGCTGTCGAAGTCACTGATACCAAGAACGGAGCCACTCATCACTGGTCCCTAGAGAAGCTACGGTAAGTACTTCCACATCCAATGAACCATTCCGGCTCTTCCCTCACATTCATTCTTCTCTGCACTTTGGTTGAAAATTTTCAAATTTAAAGCTGGCTTTCGATTTGAGTTGATTATTCTTTGATTAATACGTGCATGGTGGTTGTAGTTCATGGATTCTAGTTTCTATCAAATGCTCTAGAATTTGTTGTTTCATTTTTCGTAAATGTAACTTTGGCTGTTAACGAAGCGAAGATCACGCCGCCACCATTTACGCCTCAAGTCTCATCGCCATCATCATTCGCCAAAAAGACCCGACAGCTTGTTAGGTTTTCTTCGAATCAAATGTTGATTTGTACTTTTTCGGTTTTTTTTTACTACGAATCCCTCAAACCCCACACCACCGACAAATCCTTGATCCCCCGGATTCCCATCCCAAAAATCATTTTTCGTACACAAACAAGCTATCGCCTCGAACTGATGCGACAGATATACAATGTCGAGAGCCCGCCATCGTCCATGTTGTTCGATACGTCCGGCATGGAGACATTAAGCGGATGGATCGCATCAACCAACCAAGATCCACATCTAGCCGGACAGCAGACACAGCTGCTTCCAGTGGAGCAACCACCAGTCGAAAGCGAACGGGGCCGACTCACATTGGCCAATCTGATACCTTCTAGGTTTGCTTTGACCGCAGGTTTCATTTGTATATAGACGTGTAGAAACAAACTATCCTTAGTTGTAGTTGCATGGCTTTCCATATTTGGCTTCTGATCTGGGTTGGGTTTACGCTTGTTGTGACGCTGCCCACGCACTTCTCTCTCAACCTTTTGCAATATTAAATTATTATTATTTATCCAATAAAAAGATATACTTAATTTCTTGTTAATAATCTCATAAATCTATTTTTTAGGCAACGCTTGGAGCTGATGCGTGAGATGTACCACAATGAGGCCGAGATGAGCCCTACTTCTCCGGATTATAATGTGGAGAGCCTCACTGGTGGTGATCCCTTCTACGATCGCTTCCCCTGGTTCCGCATGGTCGGTCGCTGTTTCATTTACCTGAGCAACTTGCTCTACCCAGTGCCATTGGTCCACAAAGTGGCCATTGTCAATGAGCGGGGAGATGTGCGTGGCTATCTAAGAATCGCTGTGCAACCCGTTTTGGATGAGGAGTCCATTGATTTCAATAATGGTGTCAAGCAGTCAGCTCGTTTGGTTTTCAATGAGGACGATGCCAAGCCCAAGTACCGAGCCCTCAACGAAAAGGATGATGTGCAGCGCTATATTGACAATGGTGGCTTGGACACCAAGCTAGAGGGTGAGTTTTCAGGAATAATGGTCAGTTACCATTCAGATTCATATATGTAATCCCTAACAGAACTTGAGGATGTTGATTCTGGTCGTGGCATTGACTCCAACTCCGCTTCCGAGTGCCATGAGAATGCCGAAGAGCCTGGCGAGCATTTGCAGGTGGGCAAGGAGTTCACATTCCGTGTCACAGTACTCCAAGCTACTGGTATTGGAGCTGAATATGCTGATATCTTCTGTCAGTTCAAGTAAGTAATCTTTAAAGGATTCTCTTTGAGTTTTTGGTTTATGATGGATTACCTTTACAGCTTCTTGCATCGTCATGAGGAGGCTTTCTCCACCGAACCTGTTAAGAATTCCGCATCAGGTGCTCCACTGGGCTTCTACCATATGCAGAACGTAAGTAGATCTTAAATTACGTATAATATAATATTCTTTTAATATATATTCTTTCTTATAGATTACTGTACCCGTGACCAAATCCTTTATCGAGTATTTGAAGACGCAGCCCATTATGTTTAAGATCTTTGGGCACTACCAGACACACCCTCTGCACAAAGATGCCAAGCAGGAGTTTGTTTCCCGGCCACCACCACGTCGCATGTTGCCACCAAGCATACCGATTAGTCAGCCAGTGCGTAGTCCCAAGTTTGGACCCTTGCCCTGTGCACCCACGTCCACTGTTTTGGCCAAGCATGATGTTCTAGTTTGGTTTGAGATCTGTGAATTGGCTCCCAACGGAGAATATGTGCCATCGGTTAGTATGGGGACTTAATCTTCCGTGTAGTTTAGAAAGTAATCATCGTTTTGTAACAGGTGGTGGAGCACAGCGATGATCTTCCCTGCCGCGGTCTGTTCCTCTTGCATCAGGGCATCCAGCGACGCATTCGTATTACCATCGTCCATGAGCCCACAGCTGAGGTGAAGTGGAAGGACATTAATGAGCTGGTGGTGGGACGTATCCGCAATACTCCAGAATCATCCGATGAGCAAGATGAAGATGCTTGCGTATTGTCTTTGGGTCTGTTCCCCGGCGAGGTGTTGGAGGTCCCCGGAGATGATCGATCTTTCTATCGGTTCGAGGCTGCCTGGGACTCGAGTCTGCATAACTCGACGCTGCTCAACCGTGTTTCCCAGGGCGGTGAGACCATCTACATCACCCTGAGTGCTTACTTGGAGGTAATACTGTAACATTCCCTTATGTTATTGTTTATTATAAATGTTTCTTCATTCTCAGTTGGAGAACTGCGCTCGCCCAGCCATCATCACCAAGGATCTCAGCATGGTCATCTATGGACGCGATGCTCGCACCGGACCACGTTCCCTGAAGCACCTGTTCTCTGGACAGTATCGCAATCCGGAGGCCAATCGCCTCACCGGAGTTTACGAGCTGGCACTGCGCAGAGCATCCGAAGCAGGTAGTCCAGGTAGCAATTCTCATTGTAGTTGTACTCGTACTCAGTCTGCTTGCACTCGCTTGTCGAATCCCCGGAGCTGAACCCCACTCACTTGTTAACTTAATGCCTTTACAGGTGTGCAGAGGCGTCAGCGTCGAGTGTTGGACACCAGCTCCACTTATGTCCGTGGTGAGGAGAATCTCCATGGCTGGCGGCCAAGGGGTGATTCCCTAATCTTCGACCATCAGTGGGAGCTGGAGAAACTCACAAGGCTAGAGGAAGTTGGACGCATGCGACACCTGCTTTTGCTGCGTGAACGTCTGGGCATGGACACCAATCCCAATCCGACCACGAAGACCGAAAAGGACGTTTGCAATCTGGCCGCCCGAGCAGCCACATCACCCGTACACATGGTCATTCCACAATCACCGCAGACACCGGTAAAAGATCCGCAGCAAATCATTCCAGAGCGGGAGTACAACCAACGGGAGCAGGATCTCATGCTCAAGTGCTTGAAGTTGGTGCAGGGTGAGCTGAAATTACAAATCCCCCAGGCTTTTCCAGTTGCTAATCTTTGAATTCATTAAAGGACGCTATACCAAGAGCGAGGCTAACGATACGCAAACCCAATCGGATGTTTCACCCAGCGATGAGGGTTGTGCCGACATGACCGTCAGCTGCATCTCCAGTAATTCCATGGAGTAAGTAGTCGCTTAACCTCTTCGAATCGCATCCCATCAACACCACCCATCTTAGTTAGCTTGCATCCATCTGGCTTTCTTGGTTTATTAGAACAAATAAAATTGGCACGACACCACAGCACACCACAAGCATACATCAGATCACATCACACTAACCCCCAAACACCCACATCCATCTAAGTCATTCCATCTCACAAAAACACCCTGTACACTCCCTTCTTGCTCTGGATCATCCCTTTTGGACAGTCAGAGCGAATGGTGCAGCCCTTTCGCTGAATATTGTAGACAAATCCATGTTTGCAGCGGCAGGGCGGTCCACAAAGCGGTACGCAGTACTTGGAGCGGTATTCACACGTCTCCGGACAAACACCGGCACAGCCCACATAGGTGGAGTTGTGACAGCAACCAAAGTAGAAGGGCTGCTTGATTAGCTTCTCCTCTGGCAGTGCTTTTCTTTTCAGTGCTTTTATTTCATCTTTTGATTGAATCATATCCCATCCTTGCTCCAGACTATTAAACTCTTCAACACTGTTTCGGTGAGGTTTTTCCATAAACTCCTCCTCATCTCTCAAAGCATCTAAGGGATCTAACGTCCGAGCGGTGCGATAAGTATAAGCTTCAGTCCCTGGAGGTTCATTCGGCGCAGTTACCACATCTTCTAAAGACGCCTCAGTAATGTCTTCCGGCCAGGTTGCTTCATCTTCATCGCTTCCTTCTGCCGTTACTATATTGTTTATGAAGAAAGCCATTAGGAGTACAGATAGAATAGACTTGGGACATGCCATTATCAAGAGATGTCTTAAAACTGAGACTGAGAATGGTTTCACGTTTAAGAAATCATTGTTCCACCTTGTGGCAGTGTAAAATATTGATTCGCTTGAGTTAATTTCTAAGTAGAATTCAGTTTTCCTCAGATTTTCTAAAGTAACACAGTAATAAGAACAAACAATCTCAAAGGAAATGTTCAAATTAAGACTTTATTTAAGTAAACTAATAACATTTTAATCCAATATTCTGGCTTCTACTGAAATACACGATGAGTTTCCACAACTTCTTGTGTTACATCTTGAGGACAATCAGTTTTTAAAATGCAGAGCTCTTGTTTTTCGTTAAACACATATTCCGGCTTACATTTGCAATTCACTCCGCAATATGTTGGGCACTTTAGTGACTTAAAGGCACAGGTTTCGGGACAAACCCCAGCACACCTCACCATGCTGGCATTCTGGCCGCAAAGGACCGGAAACGGATTCCAAATGTAGTTCACGCGACCCGGATCCGGGTCCACTTCATGGTTTATAACTGTTTGCTCAGGAATGCCAGTTGCCCGAACCGAAATCATTAATAAAGCCGGCAGCAGCAGCAGCAGCCAACAGAGAGACTTTAACTTAATCATCCTAAGAATCAAAAGCAACTGAAGCTATAAAAATTGATTTCCAACTATTATTGCTACTGCTGCCAGCTGTTTCCCTGTAATTGCCCTTCATTCGCATCACAGCAATTGCAAAAACTAACAAAAACCAAACACCACCTCATTCATTTTCCTAATAACTCGAGATACTCAAAAACAAAACTTCCAATATTTTATTTGTTTGTTTTCCTTTTGGTTTTCTTTTACACAATTAGAAACAACAAATTTGTAATTCGACGCAGGTAATTTTCTGTTCTATCCAAAGAACCTAAAACCTAAACCAACTTTTCAAAGAGACTCGGGCTAATTATGTTTATTTCCTTAAATCAGATTATGTTCACCGGATCGATCAGATGCACCCAACGGCTGGGAGGCACCTGCTCCGGCTACCCAGCCGGCTCTTCCGCTCCGTCTCTATGTACCGGAGTTGGAGGAGATTCGCGTGAGTCCTGTAGTTGCCCGCAAGGGTCTGTTGAACGTCCTAGAACATGGCGGTTCCGGCTGGAAGAAGCGCTGGGTGGTAAGTTTTTAATGGTCTATATGGTACTTAGATTTGGATCTTAATATTATATATTTTAAATTAGATTGTCCGTCGCCCTTATGTGTTTATCTACCGCTCCGAGAAGGATCCCGTTGAACGGGCTGTCCTCAATCTGGCCACTGCTCATGTGGAGTGCAGCGAGGATCAGGCGGCCATGGTCAAGATACCCAACACATTCAGGTGGGTTAAGTTTATTGGTAATAAATAATTTCTAATTTCTAATGATAACTTTAATTTCTCAACAGTGTTGTGACCAAACATCGTGGCTACCTCCTGCAGACCCTCGGCGACAAGGAAGTGCACGACTGGCTGTATGCCATCAATCCATTGCTGGCTGGGCAGATCAAGTAAATGAAAAATTGAGATGTTTTCCTTTTCGATATTAACTATATAATTCCATTAACAGATCCCGCCTGGCGCGACGAACTTTGGAGCCGGCCAGCCAGACGGCCTCCCAGATTCAGGCCAATAATGCGGCGAATGCCAACAGTGCGAATAAATGAGATACGATCACGATGGAGTCCGTTTTGGTTTACTGAGACGCAGGCTATGGCTGGCTGCAGCGCCTGAATATCGCCCGACGACTGGTCAGACGAAGATCACAGCCAACGACGACAGGGGCAGCAGCTGGCAACTGATTGATATATATAGCTTGAGGGATTCCATCGAAGGAAGTAGAAAAAATAGATGATTGTTGCTAGGGCAAAGCTGAGGAAGCAAATCGAAATCGAATGAGAAAATCAGAGATATTGGGAGGGGCAGAAAAGAGAGAAACCAAATGCAAAGCGTACGTAATTATTAAGTAGTTGAACAACCAGTTTATGGATTATATTATGTATTTTGTGATTAGTTGGCCATGGCCGAAAGAGTAGGCATTAGCAGCTCCAAACAGAAACGATAGCCTACTTTTTAGTAACTTCCCGTTTCGGTTAAGTTCTTTGACAATTTTGTAAATAGCTTTCGTTTGATTCGATTGTATAAATATTTGGCATTAGTTTAAAAACGGATCGTTTAGTTTGAGTTTCCACGTGATATTATGTTGATCAGTTTTAGAATATGTATTATTTTTTGTTCTCAAGTATGCGACAATTATGTAAAGCTTCTAATATGCAAACCAAACACACACACGTATATGCATTTTAATGGAGCAAAACTAAAGCAAAATACAGACATATATATATAATGGAGGAACTATATATAATGAATTAATGTATAAAACCCTATATATTTGCTGTTTATACACAAATTTTCATGTACTTGTATCTTCTATTGTTTAACTTAAAAAAACAAAAATCGAAGAGCAGGCAAACGCCTGAGGAAATATTATGATACCAAAAAACAAAATATGTGTGTGTTAAAGGAAAGAAAAGAAAGACCGTACAGTATATAGGATATAGGAGACGTGAGGTATAAGCTCAGCAGAATTGCGAAATCTCTATAAAGGTAACGATTATTGTTAGATATATACCAGAACTATATGCGAATGAAAACTATTTTACACACACCAGAGTTACGAACCATGAAATCGGCGCTGCCATATTAACAGCTGCCCCACATTTGTCAACTGTTGACGGCTTTTAAGGCTTCTTCCCCCACACAGACACCCCCTAAAAAAAAAAATAAACAACAGAATGTTTCGCTTCAATAATGCTCCCACTCGGAACCACCTGCTAAAGCTTCAAGCAACAAGTTACGGAACAACCAATTGTAGTTTTGATAAGAATCTTTAATTAGTACGCAATGGCCACCTGTACATTTCCCAACTACCAAAAGAAATCAAAATCCAAATTTTGCTTTGCTTGCGAAAAAAGAGTGTTTCTCAATATATAAAATTTCATTTGCATTTTTTGCCTTCGGTTAATGGACGAGCTTAGGTCAGGTTAATGGATCAATCGGGAGCTTCACTTGTGCCCGGATCACAAGGCTCGAAGCTCCCCAAGTTGTTGATGGGATCGCTTTCGTTGGTGTTTGGAAAATAAACACCTAACGTTAAGCGTTCGTTTGCTGGATCGGATAATACGTATTATCTTTATTTTGGAAACGTTTTTCTTCGAACTGAGTCGGCGTTCTGTTTAATGGGTTTTGTGTTAAATTGTAGCAAAATGTAAACATTTGTTAAACTATTGAATTAATTTCGAATTGTAAAATATTAGAGAATTGTAATTACAATAATCATTATACGAGCATATTATATGAATACCCTATGTAATAACCTATTTTGGCCCAGTTTGAATTTAACAACCAAAAAAAAAAAAAAAAAATGAATTGCACACACCAGAAAAAAAAAATAAATAAGAAATATATATAGAGAGCTATATATTAGCTAAACGAGTTAACGAGCAAGAAACTCAACTTATATATGCGTATATATATGGTACAATACATTTCAAAATCTAAATCTATCTAAATATGTACATCGGCTATATATCAATGTATGTAAGAGATGATGATTGCCTGGCAACCGTTTCAAAATGACAGATTAACAGATTAAATGATTGACGAGCGGAGAGCAGAACCAAATGCGGAGCAAATTAATGGAAATGAAATGAGAAAACCTATGCTATGTGTATGTATAATCCAAAACAAATTGATATATGCCAGGGCGTATCACTATTAAAGAAATATAAAATAAAACGGCTTTAAATAAAATCTGTAAAATATCAAAATGGTTTTAATTTTTGAAAGAGGGAACTCATATTTAAGTCATAGGGTGCTTAATTTGAGATATATCAGACTTCTTAGGGGTAGGGCTTTTAGGAATTAGATTACTTAAGAGCCCTATCAAGTTTAATTACAATTTTCATAGCGAATTAATATTGCAAATAAGCGTAGTAAAACAGTTATTTTTTCATAATTCGAAAACTATATAAACGGCGTTAAGTTCTTAGACATCTCTTAACCATACTGAAGTCCCTCAGCCATGAGATCCAACAAAGTCGTTTACCTCGCCTTAAGCTTAATTGTAAGTTTTTTATTTTCTTAAATATTTTTACATATATCCTATAATTTGAAAATTCTCTTAAGCTGCTGGAAATCTTTGCACCATTCAAAGTGCAAGCTTTTAAAATCGATCTCGATGTGATTAACCAGTGCTCCGAAGTGGCTTTAAAAGCAGTAAGCACCTTGGCCGTAAGGGTTATACCATGTACTAGGAAATTGGCAAAATGTGCACAATTTACACCAATGAAGACCAAGGATCTTGATATTTCCAATTTGGCACTTTTGGTCTATCAATTCATGCAGAAAATCGTTAACAGCCAGAAATGTCTGTTGATCTCGTTGAAGGAAGCTTACGAAGCTGTAAGCCCACACGTAACCCCATTGGTTGCTATGAAATGTAATCCATTTTCATAAAACGAAAGCTTAAATTTAGCCCAGTTAAAACGATTTCTATGAAAAACCAATTCAAGAATCGATAATATATATATGCAGAAATCTAGTTATTGTTTTCAGAAGTTTATTTTGGTAAAGCTTAGAGATGAGATATCTTTTATTTATCAGTTATATGTCGATATGATATAGACTCCATAAAAGGATCATGAGAAATAAATTAATGAGTAATTAAAAATCCACGTTAAAAGTGACTACGATGGGCTAAGGATATTATTATAACCTCAGCAATATTTGATTTTTCTAGAGGCCACATAAAACACAACCATTCCGTAGAACATTAACCTAGAGAAAAAGAGCTCCTTACAATGTTCCTTCATCTTTGTAAAGCCTCCATTGTGCTAGAATTTTGAAATAAAATCACATATGAATAATTTTTATGGATAAGATTTATCGTTGGATAGGGGAAAGGTGTTAATACTGATAAGATATATAAAATCCTTAAGGAAGAAAACATTTTTTCACTTAAAATCATTTAACCTTATCAAAATAAATCCGGATAAATTCGTTACGTATCTGGCTTTAAACCTTTTGATTAGGCGTGAGAATTTAATTATCCTGAGGCCTATATATAGGGCATAGTACCAACCATAACCCAAAGTTGGGTGTGAAACCATTTTGTGGAAAGTACAAAAACGTAAGCTCCAATGAAACTGATTACAATCGGACTAGTGTTCACCCTGCTGGCTGTAAGTACAGACATATAAAACATAATATTTTTTAAAAGAAAATTTTTTAAAAATCCCAAAATAGGTCGTTTTTGTAGACCAAACCAATGCTGATGTTTCAAAATGGGAGGAATGGTTGGTATGCGCCCGAATTGGTAGCAAAGCGATTGGCAGTCTGGTCAGAGAGTCCATCCCAGCTGCTCGCAATTTGATCAACTGTCTTGACTTTACTCGACCAGATAATTTGGGTGACGGTTATCTACCAAGACTGAAGGTATTCTATGAATTTCTTAAAATTGGTGCCTTCAAAAAGTCCAACTGCCTGCTAGTGCCCATGAAGGTTACCGTGAAGCTTCTTAGACCCTTTATCTTTGCACTTGAGACCAATAATTGTCTTGTTGCGTAAATAACCCTTTTGCTAATATTTAAATAAAGTACAGCAAAACATTCTTAATTAGGTGTTACTTTTTTGGGTTTAAAATTTTAAAATGGTGGGAAAACTTGAAATTTTTATATTTTACGTTTAATGATTTTGTGGATATAAAAACTGTATTTTAAAACCAAAAATGTAGAACAAAAATGTATTTTACTCGTAAACCATTGTTTTTTATGTTATATTAAGTTAGAATATATATTCTATGTAAATTCTTAAAGGCATATCATAGAACATAGGGCAAACAGGAACTGATGCATGGCATTCCAAATTGAATTTACTTCTAATCCCTAAGTAATATGAACCCTAAAGGTTAAGCTATTAACGTGTGACTAAAGACTTTAATGGTACTTGCGAGTATGAAATTGAAATTATGAAATAAGCCTATAAATAGGACAGCCCGTCTCATTAATTTTTCAAGATTTTTCCGGTCATAATCATTTGCTGAGCACGGAAGAATGTGCGGAATTAAAATCACATTTCTGCTAAGTCTATTGGCTGTAAGTAACTTCAATATATCAATTATCTTTCATAACATAATCCCTCACTAGATCTACTTTGCCCCACGGGAAATAGAGGCCCAGGCCACTCTAAATGACGATTGGAGCACGTTGAGCAAATGCACTCAGGTGTGCATTGGAACATTGACCAGTTTGTCCATCAAAGTTATTCCAACCGTCTACGAGCTGAAAAAATGCTCTGGGTTCGATGTCTTGCCTCCATCAACTGGAAAACGAAATATTACATGGTACTTAAAGACCACTTACGAGTTTTTCAAGAAAATTGTTTTCGATGAGCCACAATGTCTGCAAGGACTTCTGACCAAAATTGCTCTGACAATCAAACCGTTTGCAGAGCAAATAAACGAATTGGGTTGCCTGGATGAGGCTGATTATATCATTTAAAAAGCAACGTACATACATTTTTCTTAAATAAATCGAGAGCTATAGATTGTCTCAAATTTCAGTAATAAAATTATATTTTTACTTAAAAAATATATATAGAAAATGTTCAGCGTAAAAAGCAAGGCGCTATCATAGGAATTTAAGTTATCCACAAACCTTTAAAATTAACAGAATTTTTGATAACTTCTTTGAAATAAAATCTTTTCTGCTTAAATTATTTGTGAGATCAAGGCCATTAAATTGGTTAGATTTAGCTACGGATTGGGTCTGTAGCTTGGGAAAGTGATTAAAAGGTGGAAAATTGATCATCAGAGATGCTCGACGGCATTACTAAACGGATTATCCTGAGGCCTATATATATAGGGCAAGATGTCCGAAAGGCCAACATAGTTGAGTCAGAGAAAGTGCCGGAAAAAGAAGTCCCAATGCATTTGATTAAGGTTGCCTTTTTGCTGACCTTCTTGGCCGTAAGTATAATAACCTTGAATAGAATTATTATTATTTTTTTAACTCCAAAACCCTTTTAGCTATGCCAAAGGTCGCAAGTTGAGGCTGCAATAAGCACGGAAATGGACCATCATCTGCGGTGTCTGGAAGTGGTGGCAGATGTTAGTGCCCTAATGATTGAGAATTCCGTATCGGCTATAAGAATTTTAGCCGAATGTGTGAACTTCAAACCGAAACTTCATCTTACCGGCAGCTTCGTTCGATTTATTAGGCTGGCCCATGAATTCGCCAAGAAAGCGATATACGACAAGCCAGATTGTATTGTTCAGACCTTTACCAATGCTGTCGGACTAATCAGACCGCTGATAACCAAGTTTGACAGCTTGAATTGCTTTGATGATTAAAATAAATCGCTTAACTTAAAAGTTTCAATAAAAATTCAAAGCATATCGAAAGTTTGCCAGGCTTAGCAAACTTTCTCCCTTCCTCTTAACTTGCTTTATATTTTATTTTCAAAAAATAGAAACTACAAAAAGATGATAATAACAATCATAAAAATTAAAAATTTATTTAACGAATTACATTTCAGGTGATTAACTTTTTCTTGAGATACAAAATTCGATTTATTTTCTGTTCCTCAGACAGAATGAGTATAAGAGTAAGGAGAACTAAAATAAAAAAGGTTTAATTAAAAAAAAAAATTGTTAAAAAATTCAAAAACTTACGCCAACGTAGAAAGAGTTTCATTTCGAAGTTTTTCTTATAGACAGTTCAACTTGTTTATATAGTAAAACCTGCCAAAAATCGTGACTGTTTAATTTTCGATAAAGCCTAGGAACAACAATTATATGACTGTAATCTTGGCCAGAAAACGTGACAAAGTTTAAGATTGTGACTAAAAATAAAAGTTACACTTGCCAGGTAATCCTCCACTTGGCAGCAGCACCTGCTAAGTAATTACCTCAATTCCATGGTCGAAATCCTTTCCATTGTGGCTATGAAATTCCATGACAACAAAAGCTGGCCACGCTCAGTGATGCAAATCCCAGACAGAATGCCATTGCATAAGCTCCAACAAGCTGGCTAAGTGCTTCTTCTCGAGAGCAAGAGGATTTTGGAACTGGACAAATACGAGCACGAGTATAGCAACTTTTGGGAGGCTGCACATCCATACCCGTAGATCTGTTGTAATTAGGCAAGATGTCGCTGCCGTTTTGCCATTTGCCATTTGGCCACTGGTTCCCCCGACAATACCATTTTATTGGATTTTGTTGGCGGATTTCTCTCTTCTATCTTTTGGTTTTAACCATCTTGTTTCTTTTTTTTTTTTGGAAAATGAATAATTCAATAGTTCGGCAAGAGGAGAAGCCTGGGGTCTATGGGTCTTGCTACTTCCCAACCGCGCGGACCATCTCGTTTGCAGCCATAATTGAGGTCAGTGAAATCAAATAGCTTGGACCAAGTGGTTAGCACTTGCCCAGCGGTGTGTAGACGAACTGGACTTGGAGCTGGTTGGCTGCTCCCTTGGCTCTCGAGTCGGCTCCACTTTCAATGGCCAAAAGCGGCCATGGGATCTTCCTCGTCGTCGTTGACGGTCGTTTTTGTTTCCGTCAGCCAAAATCACAGCCACTAAAAATAGACAACAATTAAATGTAAATCAATTGCATTGATTTTCTCTCAATATACAGTGGGTAACACTTGCAAGTAAAAGAGATAGTGAAGCGAATAAAATTAATAAAAATACAAGAAGGATATATAGCATTATAAAAAGTTTGTGGTCACAAAGAGCTTCTAACTTTATTTTAGAGTCAGAAAGTATTATCCAAGTATCCAATAATCTGATTAACATCCCAATTACAGTTTAAGCACCTTTCACTGTACTTGGCAAACTCATTAGCCAAACTCCTTGACATTGTCCCTGTATCCGCATCCGCTTTACTTGCCAAATTATCGGCTATAAAAGCAACCGTCTAGCTTGACCAACGTCAGACGATAAAGTACCTCCCGTCCGGTTCTACTGCCAGTTTCCAAGAAGGGGTCCACACTCACTGTTGAGATCAGCACAATGTTCGACTCAAAGATTAGGGTGCCCAAGTACGACTCGGAGGCGTTCGACAATGTCGAGTACGAGCTGCAGATGACGTACACCCTGGAAACGGATCGCAGGATCATGAGCTTCTACGATGCCATGTGGGGCATGGAGGTGTCCGGCGGTATTGATCAATTCGAACCGCTGACCATTCTCAATGTGTCACCCACGGGATTGGCAAAGAGAGGCGGAATGCGAGTGGGTGATGAGATCACGCAGATCAACGATGTGCCAGCTCTGGAGATGACCTTTAATGAGGCTTTGCAAATGTTCCGGAAGAATTCGCGTTACGTTCGCGTTTATGTGAGGGGGTAGGTTAAATTTTTAACTAATTTTCATAACTTCTTAGCTAATTCTTTATCTCATTTCCATTCACAGCGATGATGATGCCCCCGGCGAGGAGGATTGGACCTGCGATTGCTGGTTCAAGCCCAGGAAGCCCTGGCGACGCGATTTCACACCCATTCAGTGGACCTTCCCCTGGAACGATCGTCGTAAGCCCGTCTACAAGGAGTCCAACTGCTTCATGGTGCCTAGTAAAATGGAGGAGAAGATTCGGGCGAGGCGTGCTGTCACCTCAGCTGTCCACAAGAAGGACGAACTGGCTCCACACACTCGCTCCCTGACGCCTACTCCTAGGCCCAAGAATCAACCTGGTCCAAATCTTCTAGAGACTGTGCTTAGACCACGTGGACCACCGCCAAGGGATTAGGATTGCGATTTGATCCGTAAAATGAAGCTGGCCAAGTCATATGGTTTTGCAGGCAGTGCTGAATCCGCTGCAGTGTATCTAGACCGTTGAGGATTAGTTACTTATAAAGAAGGCAGGCAATGGAAGTGCCTCAAAATAGCTGGGAAAAGATTTTGAAGAATGTTCTTATGAGAACAGTGTCTTAATCCTGCCCAGAATTCAGCGGTTCATTTAGTTTATGGAGAAATTTTATATTAAACCATAACTGGCAGGCATTTAACTTTTGAAGTGCCTTGGCTTGGAAAATTGTTCTGAGAGAACTTTGTCCTAATGCTGCCTAGAAAAGCTAATATAGTAGATAAATGAAACTTCTAGAAACTGATTTCGAAGATTATTTTAAAAGAATATTGTCGAAATATAAACTTTTAACTAGGAATGTGTTAGATGAAGTTAATAAACCAAAACTAGTTCTGAATTTAATATGCCTTCTAGAATTTTTTAGGGAGGATAAAAATGTCTTTACAAAAAATGATCTCAAGATTGGCTAAATCTTTCTTAACCTAATTGATTCGTAAAAGGTCTTAAAGCACCGTCACAAGTACCAAATCAGTTAGTTCTACTCACTTCATTAAACGATTTAGCAAGACGGTAACATTACAACCAAATCTTAGCATTTCTGTTCTATATTGGTTCCGGCATGAGGCTTGTTTATTTGGTGGCTCTTTGTAGCCACTTTCTTCTGAAAACTCATGGCTATGAAACTGACATAGCTTATCGGATCTGTGAAGATAACACCTACACTGGTTGCCATGACTTTTGCCGCAGGGGCTGTAATGGCACCGAGTACAGTTGCTTACATCGCTGTCATAAAGGTTGCGGATGTATTCAAGCCTCAATCATACGGAATAACGGAGGCTGCCGGAGGTTGGTGGTGTGTGAGGCGAATGAAAGGGATTCTGCATCGCTAGAAAACCAGGACTATGCCGGAGACTATGTAACGGATTGGTGGCATGACGAGGAGGCTATACGTGAAGTTGCGGAAACAATTGTAGAACATCATAAGGTTGATGAGCCGCATGAGGATGCGCTGCATGATAAACCAGCACATGATGAACCGGCACGTGATGAACCGGCACATGATAATGATCAGGGACATGCCGCTGAGGGAGCGATCGTTGATGATCATGGTGGAGAGCTGAAAGAAGCGATTGAAAAAGGGAAGAAAATCGTTGCAAGTGGGTAGTATCCTTCTTTCTAGGTTTATAATGTTTGATTTTTAAAAAAAATTTGAATAAGAATAAACTTTTTAAACTTTAATTATGGCTAAAAGAAGATTACTAAGATCTCAGTGAGCTCTATCAAACAGCTGTAATTAATAAAAGTAAATACATTAATTATTGAATTAGCAGAAGTGCATAAGAGCTTCAGGCTGCCTAATGAACAAATATGGAAAAGCGGCTAACTTTAATTAAGACGCCACAGGCACATCTGCCATTATTTGTCTTTATGGCTTTCAATAAATAATACTTACGGATAAATTATAATTGCTTGCTTATTTATGATATTAACTAACAGAGTTCAGCATTTATCCTTATCCCTAGCTTGATTTGTAATGAAAATTAGTAAATTTATTTATGAATCAATAAATAAATTAGCTTAGCTATATAATTACAAGCTACACGACATTTAGTCACTGTGAAAATCTAAATTTCTCTGCAAGACTCTCTCTGCTTTTCCCTTGAAACAACAAATTGCTAATTGCTGCTTTGAGCAAATTACACATTCATATATATATATATATATACATACAGTCATGAATCAGAAATGTTGTGTTGGCCAAATTAGAAGGCGGCTGAAATGCAAATCGAGCAAATCTCGTCTCAGTTAGCTCCAGTTTCCGTTGAGATGTGGAGCAACTTTCTGCAGAAGGCTTTATTAAGCATATAATTCAATTTTCATTATTCCAAGGATAAGTAGAAGAGGGGAGTGGATGTTGCTTCGCTCCTTGTTGGTTTTCCAGGATACTCTAGAATGTTGGCCTCCAATAACAACACACAGCATGCGAAAGCACAAGCAGCATTATGTTCACTGAGGAAAATTTCTTAAATTTAAATAAAATGGTTAAAAGGGGAAAAGAAATAGGTATTGATTTAAAATCTAAGGAAAATATTAAAGAATTTTTGAATGTAATATTAAAAAGTATATATATTTAGTAATAAAGTTGTCTTAATTTTCTTTTAGTACCTTCCTAGGCTTGAACCAAAAGAAACCAGGGTCTTTCTGGCGCATTTAATTGAATGAAAAGCACTGGATTCCGGCCTGATGAAGTTCCTAACCTTAACGTGCTGGTTGAAACCATTTCGCAGGGAGGATAAAACGAAAATGGCAAAACACCGGCAAAAGAGGGTTAAAAGGCACCACAATGCTGATGCCAAAGCAAACGGAATCGGAATCGCAATTAATATTAATTTAAAACGAATATCAAACGAGAAAGAGGTTGTTGTAGTGGTTGCCAGGAAGGGAAATAAAAATGGAAATTCCGCGAATGAATTTTTAATTGGCGAACGAAATGCCGAGGGAGGAAGTCAACTTTGTGCCCCTAATGATGACGATGATGAATGCGATTTTTCCGTTTTGACTTTCCGTTCGAGTGGAGTTTTGATTAATGCCTTAATCGAAGCGAAAATGATTGAAATTGAACCATATTTCTTCCCTCTCTTATATATATATTTATTTTTTTCTCTGTGAGAAATTCTTATTTTGCAAGGTAATGGCAAAGATTTTCACTGGTCGTTAAAGTTTTCACTTTTATGCAGCTGATTCAGCGATAAAGTTGCCGTGACAAAAAACTAATTTCATCCTAATCACAATAATAATAGTGGGGCTTGGCCTGGCAACTTCACCCAAATGCAATCCATGAAGAAAATCCATGGAAAAAAAAAGAAGGCGACTGAGAAACAGGTTCGCCTTTGGGATTGAGTAAAATTTTCCAATGCCGATGCCGATGCCGATGATGATGATGATGATGCCGAACATGCTGTAGATGTCGTGGGAATCTTGGCCAGCCAAAAGCTGAAAACTTGTCAAAGCGAATGCCATGGAAAATTAGCAAAAATCATTGCAAATCAAATGGAAGACATGACTAGCCACATAGAAACTTTGAAACTTTTCAGCCGGCAAGCAAACGTCACAGATTGAGTGCCGTACATCAAAGTTCAAAAGTGTCAAACGTTGTTGCCACCTCCTCTGAATTCCCCCGGATACGGAGGAGCCCACTTTTGATAGGGAGTCAAGAATGGGAACACACTCCAAAACTGGTCGAATGAGCTGGTCCAGAGCTTAGGCCAATTTATAGTTTGTGAGTGTGTGTGTGTGTGTTTGTGCTTGTGGTGCCGGGCGACATCGATGCTGTTTTCCCAATGCCATCAGCTTGGACGCTTTAAAAGTTTCCTTCTTCTGCCTCAGTCTCGGCCACAGACTCTGTGCCCCTTCCATCTGCACACAGAAAAACACAATCGAAGTTTTACAACTAGAGCCATAAACCACAAAAAGCCTTAGTTACTACTTGAAGTTGCAAACATTTTTTAAATAGTTTTATGGAATTTTCGGTTTTTCATTAAATATGTTTGAAGTTTTAGAGAAGAATTAGTAATGGCTGTGGAAATTATTAGCTGAATTAAAGTAATAAACTTAAGCTTTTATTACTTAGTTTTAGTTCAGAGTTAGAGTTTAGAGATCCATTTACGTATTAAAAATAAAGTGCATCTAACACTTTCATATAAAAAGAAAATCTCATGTCATTGTTATTTATCTTTTCTCTTGGTGTGATTTTCCCCTGGTTTTCAGCTGCTGCATTTTCCCAATGTTAACCAGCAAGGTCGTGAGGTGAGCTGTGAGCCCAGATCTGGTAGCTGGGACTATCAACTTGGACAAACATGAGAGTACGTATACGTTATGGGCTGGCTGTGTATTTGAGGAGGCGAGGGAGGCGGGGCAAAGGGAAACTTGAGCTGTGTCAAATGTGGGTCAATCTTAAGCTAACCAAATAAACGATTTGTCCGAATCCAGGAGCAAGTCGTGCCGTAAAGAGGCCAGATGAGATTGAATTGGTTTTGAAGTTGGGAAAAAAAAAGAATGCAGAAAACCGAAGGAAAATGTGGAAAAAGTGTAAGGACAGATTATTTGTTTTGATAAGGGCTTGCGAGGAAAATTTAAAATCAGGGACACTTTTGGGTGGAGATAAGGCTTATTGATTTTGTAAGTTATTTATTTTATGAGCTTGATAATAAGAAAGTCTCTGATTAAAGGTCTGATTGAAGGCAATATAAGTTTAACTGCAAGAAAGGTAATAACTTTTGCAATTTTAATCAATACAAAACATAAATTCCTTTTTAATAATTAATTTAAGAAAATTGAATGGAATTCATGTAACTCGCTGGAATATTTGATTTATTCATCATGCACACTTAAATATGGATTAAGCTGCATCCTTGCCGCAGTTGTAACCGCTGTCATCGAACTGCAACAATTGTTGGCTGCGACTGCACTCTTCAATTTTCATCCACTCCGCCTGGCAGCCCAATAAATCCTGAAGCCCCTCGATGTCAGCTCCAGGGGCCTGGATATTCTGAATGGCAGCAACTCCTCCGGGTTGACAGCAGTCGGAGAGGCGGGCGGGCTTTTATTTTCCTTTCTTTTTTTTTTTGCCTGCTGCATGAATATTTCATGAATGCCACTTCTCACAAATAAAGTTGTTTGGCAGTCACATTTTGTTGCCGCCGATGTTGCTCTCGATGCTCCCGATGCCGCTTCCCGTGTCAATCAATTCATGCAGACGAGAGATCCCTTGACTTTGGGACATATATTCATGCCGAAAACCCGCCTTTTAACCTTCCCCCTCCTGCCACTGGTCAACGCTTTAACATTACGCATACGTCGCATAAGCCGTTGACTAAACATGACATCAGGGGAGGCGGGGCAGTGGGCGGCCATAGCGAAACATTTTTATCGCTGTCAGGAATTCACACAAGCAACAGCAGTAACAACAATAACAACAGCAACAACAACGGGGGCAACAGCAACATCAAGGAGCAACATCAGCAGCAACAGCAGCAGCAACAATTCACTTTGGTCATTAGCATAAGAGGCGGGGGAATTTCGCCGGCCAGCTATGCTCTTAATTACACATTCCTAATGTGGGTCATTCCGACCCCGAAAGACAGCCAGTGGATAAGCCAGTAGGAGCCGGAAATTAAGATCCATCAGGGCAACGAGTCACAGATTAAATATCGTGAAGATGATGTTTCATTTTGCGAGAATTTTCTCAGCTAATTAATTGCTTTATTTTTGGGATTTACGAATTTGTACTGCTTTGTAAACTTTTTAAGCCTATATCTTTGGAAACTTAAGAAACTAGCTCTACAGAGTTTCGGTAGTTTTACCTCCAACAATTGTTCTTTGCCCAACTTAATTAACTCTGTTAGATTCTCATATGTGGGCATAATGCATTTAATTGGCTAAAAGATATCGTGACTATACAAAATTACTATAGACAGAGTTCAGAAGTGTCATGAACTTGTCACCTACATTGACAGTCATCGACAAAAGGTACATCCTCGTATCAATCAGCTTTGCATAGAAGTACTTAACTCCCACTCGGTGCATGTTGGGTACAACCACTGTCCCTTCTTCATGTTTTTCTGAAAATTGTTCTGCAAAGCGTTGCTATCCGGTATTTTTCTTGAAGGATAGAATTTCGCAACGAAATAGGTTAATTTAACATTTAAACCGAAATTAAAACCAACCCTGGACTACTAAATCATGTTGCCAGTTGGCCAAAAACCTTCATCTTAGTGCACTTCATTAACGCCATATAAATGGATTTTGGCTTGGAAAACGACTTGAACTCTGAACTCTCGCTGTTCTCAAAATTCAGGTTCCGACGAACGCAAAATTAATTAACGTTGCTGCAAACTTTTGCCACTACAATCTTTTGTCATAGTTTTCCCCACCAGTTCCATTTGGTGACCCTCCAAAGAGTTTCCCCCACTATTTTCTACACCCCCCCTAAGTTTTCCAGAACGGAAAAATGTCACGCAAATAACAAAAGCAACGTTTCAGGAGTGAGCAAACAAAACTTAAAACTGGCTGGCAGCCATTTTGTGCAAAGTGTTTCAGTCCGATCCACTGCATCCTCTTTTCCTTGCTTTTTCCCCCCCTAAAAAAACGAGGATATTCCCCGAGGACAGCCGGTCATTTTCCCTTCTTCTTCTACTTTTTTTATCCCACGAAAAGCGGAAAACGGGCGGGAAATTCCTTGGCATTTGTATTTTCTTCCGCTGGATCTTTACATCCTCTAGAAGAAAACGCAC